GGGCAATTCGTTGTCTCCTAGTTAGGTTAATGTAGGGCAAACCTCCTATTTCGTATTAGCACTTAGGGTTTGTTGTGGGTGGCCGTCTGAACTCCAATTCGAGGGTGAAGTCTAACAATTCCTTAGTCAATATGTTGAGAGGGTCGCATTAGTGGCTTGGATCGTATCCCATTTCCTCGACCTAGAGACTAAGAGGGTAGCTTTGGCTACTAGTTAGACTTCCCTGCGGTTTATAACTCCCTCACCACACACGGTCATTCGATCCTTCGAGTCGTAATTATTAGCTAGGGGGAGCAACACCCGGGTGAAGCCTTCTCAATTAGTGTCAAAACCATTTCATCTTTGCAAAACACTTTAGTTTTAGATCTTCGTTTTAACCAAAACTATCCGCTAGTTAATGTTTCAAACAAATCGAAGTAGCGGTACATGGGCTGGCCCAGGTCGATATTTAAACATACTTGCCCTATATTGCATCGATCTAATGTTTATACTTGGGACTTAGGTGGAATTTTATTGTGATAGTAAGAGTGAGTCACCATGCTCACTAAACAAGCTTGGAGGATGCTTCGTCAGCCTGGTTCCCTCCTTGATCGGACATATAAGGGCAAGTATTTTCCTTCTACTTCTCTTCTCCATGCCCGGGCTGGCTATCGGGCGTCATGGGCATGACAAGGAATACCTGCAGGGCGTGATTTGCTGGTATGAGGTCTGAGATGGTAGGTTGGTACGGGGAGTCCCATCCTTGTTAGTAATGATATCAAGCTGCCTACCGCTCTTCCCTCTAGTCCTAAGCTGTTACCCGGTCGTTATCCTCCTTCTCCTTTTATTTCTTCATTGATTGGTCAAGGTACTGGAGAATGATGCTTATCTTTGTTGCAATTTCTCTTTGATGCATCTACTGTTAAGCTTATTCTCTCAATTTCTCTCCCATGACATCCAATTGAAGACAAACTCATCCGGCACTATGATCCAACTGGTGAATACACAATGAAGTCGGGTTATAGCCTGGCATTTCCAGAATCCAGCTCTGATCCTTTTCCCCTTCCCACTTCATTTGATTCTCGTTTTTGGAAGTACCTATGGGCATTACCTATGTCGTCCAAAATGGGAAATTTTCTTTGGTGAATGTTTTGTCATTTCCTTCCCTTGTTGGATGAGCTTCGTTATCGACATTTGGTCTCAGAAGCTCCTTGTCCTGTATGTCGTATTTCTCCAGAGACTGCTTGTCAATTGTTTGTTTTTTTTACTGTAGGGTGGCAAAGGAACTTTGGCACATGGCTTCCATAGACACAATTCCTTTGTTTTTTGCAAGAGAACATTTTGTCCTAGCATGGAGGCATTTATTTTTCTTCTCAAACATGTCTCCGTAGGAAGTCGATCGGTTTGTTTTCATGTGCTGGCGGTTATGGAAATCAAGGTACTTTGTTGTCCATTATTTTTTTATTTTTATTTCAGGTTCGTCCACACTATCGTCAATTCAGTCACCAGGTAGATGAGTGGATTGCTGCCTCGGTTCCTTCTCTTTTGGGAGCGACATTTGCTTCTTCTCAGCCTACGCCAAAACCAATGCCTTGTTACCACAACCAGCTATGCCAGGTGGTACTTCTCCATTTTGATTGTGCTTTCAAGCGGGGTGTTGGGGCAGATGTGGGTTTTGTTGTTTTTGAAGGTGGGATGCAACTCCAATTTGCATTTGAATGTTATCTTTTGGGTATTGAGGATATATTTGTGATTGAACTAATGGCGCTCCTTGGGGCCTTGCAATGGTGTTTATTGCATGGTTTCACTTCTTCGCACATGCTTGGCGGAGCACTGTTAGAAGAGGTTTGGTTATTACTTGACTCTTACTCTTAATTTTCATGTAAGTTTATCCCACGTAGGCTAAAAAAGGTTGCCCATATAGAAGCTCAAAAGGCGCTTGAATCGAGAATCGACTTATTGCTTGACCATAGTAGTTGTGTTATATCTTGTTAGTGACGTGTCTCTATCTTTCCTGTTTGCTTTAACTATACATAAGGGTTCTGTAACAAAACCCAATCTTGACAATTATGTGTGCATACTTGTATCACTCTCTTTATCCATTCAGATTGGGCTTTTGCTATGGTTTGGTTTCAGTTTCAGCTATGTTTGTGGCTCTTGCTCCAATATAGTTAATTAGGAGGTCTCCTTTGAACTTTGCTAGACTAGGGTTTTTCTAGTTTTCTCATGGGTTTTCATCTTTTACTTCTACTTGTTCTCTTCATCCTCTCCTTTTGTTTAGGGGCTCTATTGTATTTTTCTTTATTCGAATGTCTAGTCTGTGAATTCCTTGTAGATGTTCTTCCGGTTTGTGTTATTTCGACTGTTTTGCAGTTTGTGTTTTTTTTTTCCACTTTGCAGGTGAAGCTGCTTAGAGGAGTGTATCCTTATCCCGATTTCGTAGTTTGTATCCTGTATTGGTTGGGCTTTTACCATAAACCTGCTTGTATGAGGCTTTTTGTTTGTTTTGTATGTTGATTTTGCAGGTGCATCGTGGTGTGTTGCTGATGGACGTGTGTCCCACTACGTCATTGATGTTTCAGTGTGGATGCATACCCCCTTTGCGTTTAAGTGTTTTATCATTACACTCTAAATTGCACTTTTGCAGGTAACGCGTCCGATTTGCTTTTTGCGGCTGGTGATCCTTTGTATGAGCAAGAATTTTGGCAAAGTTGTTTTCCATATTTGTTGCAATTCAGTTGTTTTGCATTTTATGTGATTATTCATTTTGCAGGTGGAACTACTTGCAGGGGTATATTCATATCTTACTTTATTTGTTAGTTTATAATGTATTATCAGTTTATTAAGTTGTTCAATGCTGCCCATATTGTGGCTTAAAAAATTCTTGAATCGATAGTGAGTAATCTCTTCTTTTATCCAAGAAAAGGTATTTCTAGTTTGCATGGTCCAATTGTTGATCCCGAAAATTTCTACAATAAAATTGGGTAGGTAAATAGTTCCCTATCCACAATGCTGCTATTTATAGATAAGTGTATCAAAAAAAGTAAGATGTTGAGTGTTTTACTTATATCGAAACATTCAAATTGGGTCAGTGGATCATTTTTCAGTCATTCATTGAATGATAAATTACTACAAGCGACGGAGATACGCGATTTTAGTAGTAACCATCGTATTTATGTTTTTCCTATGGGCTAAATTGCAAGTTTGGTCACTCGTATTGCTACAAAATTTCACGTTTGGTCACTCGAATTGATTTATTCCATTCATAGTCACTTAAATTAATTGAATAGTCCAAGTTCGGTCACTCTCCGTTAACTCCCGTCAGACTCCGTTAGTGCCGTCAATTACCTGCTGACATGGCTAACAGACTGAGTTGGCCAATTTTAACCCATAAAAAACCCTACCCTACCCGCCATGTCAAACCCAACCCGCCTGACCTAAAAAAATCCATTAACCAAAATCAAATCCCCTTCCGACCCTCTCTTCTTCTCCGCCGCCATTGACCTTTGATCACCTCCGCAAATGGAGTTATTGTTTCGCCCGGCCGTTTCCTCCAATTGGAAAAGGAACCACCACCATTTCCAACTTCTCAATCTACGACACCACTCTCTCCACCATTCCCACCCTCCACCCAATCCAAGCTCTAATTTCAAGTACTGTCGTTGGAGGGAAAGAAAAAGAACCAAAAGAAACGAATTTGTTCTTCCTTCCTTGAACACCAACGACCGTCTCACTGATCCAAAAATGTCCATGTTCACGCCTACTCAGAATAGTCCATTATGGCGATGGAGGAGAGGGAGGTGAATGGGAAGAGAGAAATGGAGGCCTCAGAAGGGGGATATGAAGATTGACGAGGCGGTGAGGGATCTGGAGATAGACGCCCTCTCTCTTCTTTTTCTTTTTAGCAATGTCGCTGCTGTCGCCGCTAGTCTCTTCTCCACTAGTTGAGGCTTTGCCATTGAACCCATCGACGGAGACCCCAAACTCTCACTGCACCGCCGCCGGGACAACCGCATTTTAGAGGAGAGGTCGTTGGAGTCACCCTCAGTCCCTCACCGTCGAGGATGGCGGCATAGGAGGATTCTAGATCTGGATCTGTTTGCTGCATGCAACAACAAGCCGCCTCGAGATCTTCTACTTCCTGTGCGTTCTTCGTCGACAAATCCGCCGGAATCGAACAACCTCCATCTCTGAGGCATAGCCGGGAATCGGAGCTGGAATCAGTGGGCTGGAGTCGATCGGAGAGAGACAGGAGAAGGGAAGAGATAGGGAGACGGATAAGGAAACATACAGGAAGAATGGAAGGCTATATTGCAGCGAACGAGGGATGATATGGGTTAGTACTTGGTAACAAATTGATTGGAAGAATGCAGAAAATTGGAATTGAAGAAGCAAAATCATAATTGAAAGGGGGACTGGTACCGGCGCTAACCTCGCGGTGGGTTTTTTTTTAGTTGGGCCAAGGGTTGGGGTTGATCTGGGTTTGCTTAACTGATGTGGCAGAGGGGGTTTTTTTTTGCTTAAAATTGGCCAACTCAACGTCTCTGTTAGCCACATCAACAGTTAACTGACGAAACTAACGGAGTCTGACGAAGGTTTACGGAAAGTGACCGAACTTGGACTATTCAACTAATTTAAGTGACTAAGAATGGGATAAATCAATTCGAGTGACCAAACGTAAAATTTTGTAACAATTCGAGTGACCAAACTTGCAATTTAGCCTTTTCCTACGTGTGTATGTACTTCTGCCTACTTTTATTTATGCCAAAAAAATGCAAAAGCAGGGTGGGGGCCTACTGGCCTAGTGGTTAGACGTTGGAGTGGAGCCGAGCGGATTCCGGTGAATTTGCGAAGTTGCTCTGTGTCTTTTTATGACTTGTCCATCCAAAGCACCCAACGTCCAAATCGCTGATGCTATAACCCATAAGAAAGGCCTAATTTCTGTGCTATCCACGTGTGCACTTTTTATTCGCCCTGTACATTTCTCACAAACATCTCTCTGCTTTTTTTTTTCTTTGGGAGCCGAGAGTGTGGGACTCTCTTTTCTCTCTCTCTCTCTCACACACATCCCTCCACTTTTAAAATCCCTCGTCGGAATATCTTCGTCGGAACTTATCTTCCTCCCTCTCCGCCTGATGCTAAACACCGAAAACCGTTGCAGCTAGTGATCGCCGGCTCACAGCCTCCGGAGGCGTTTGTAGTATTTATTCTTGGTCATCGTTCAGGCTCTGAAACCGTTATTATTGTACTACTTTAGGGGAGGAAAAAAAAAAAAATAGCGTCGATTGTATGTCGTTGCTTGACTCATGGTTGAATCGCTAGGGTTTTCACTTTATAAGCTGCACGCAAGAGTAGAGATGGCTTCCAGCTTAAATAAAATTCTCTGTAACAGAGAGGGAGTAGTAGAGGCAGAAGCCAGCTCTTTACCTGCTTTCTTCTAATCTTCCGGATTGACCTGCCTTTTTCCCATCCACGACTCCTCTGACGGAATTGGGGAGCTGAGTGTCGCTTGCGGATTCGCCAAGGACCGTTTTGGTAGTGACAGAGGCGAACTGCCGTCGCTGCAGAATTGCGAGGAAATCGGTCGCTAGTTGACTGTTTGAGGGATTTCGGATGAGGAAACTGAAGCGAGGTATTGGAGAGATGAGGATTTCAGGCACTATTTGAGGCAGTAAGTTCAGAAGATGAGTCGCATCAGGGAGGTTAACGGCGGAGGAGCACAAGTTGTAGAAGCATACGAACGGCGGTCTATTGAGAGGAGGTCCGGGGAGATACAATCAAAAGCTGGCTCGGGGAACGGTTCGATCATTGCTCCTCGACTTTCGATTGACGAGAGCCTTCTCATTGATGCTAAATCATTGTTTATAGGATCGAAAATTGGCGAGGGAGCCCATGGAAAGGTCTACGAAGGAAGGTAAGTTCTGCATACATGAGTGCCTATTCTGGGGAAATCTAATTTATGATGCACAAATTTAGTGTTAAAGCCCGACTCGATCTTATTATCGTTGTATTCTTCTATGATCGCTGTTGAATTACGCAACCTCTGAACTAGCCTTTGCAGGGTGATCCCACTCTCCCTGTTAACGCCTGTGGTTATGGTTCTGTACTCTGGCGTAGATTAATCATCCCGGACTTGTTGTTATAGTTTTGATGCAATGTGAATTCATTATGTCAACTACCAAGTTACCCCAATGTCCGGGTAATGGGAGATCTGTACCAGTTCCAGCTATTGATTTCATTTCGTTTGCTGCATGGTTTTTTGTTATTGGACTTCTAGATTTGGTGAAAGGCTTTGTAGACTGCTATCATGTTGTTCTTGTAATTAGCCATGATACTTACATTTTTGCCTTCCGCGGGAAGCAGCTAAAAAGGGTCCTAAGCTTGCTATATAATAGGTGTGCTTAAATTTTATCCAGGTTTGGTGAAAGAATTGTTGCTATCAAAGTTCTTCACCGAGGCAGCACATCTGATGAAAGGTCTGTGCTTGAGAATCGTTTTGCCCGTGAAGTAAATATGATGTCCAAGGTGAAACATGAGAATCTTGTCAAGGTAATTACTGGTTTACCAGACGGCTTGATGATTACTTGTTTTTCTCAAAAGGACTAGAAGGGTTGTCACTTGTTTATTCCAAATGCATCTTCTTACCCTTAAAGCTTGTTAAATCGTTGCTTAGATCGATTATGTCCGAAATTCAGTGTTTCCTTATATGATGCTACTTTTTGTGCATGCACAGTTCATTGGAGCTTGCAAGGATCCATTGATGGCAATAGTAACTGAGCTGTTACCGGGGATGTCTCTGCGTAAATTTCTGTTTAGTATTCGTCCAAACAAATTAGAGCTGCCTTTGGCGTTAAGCTTTGCTCTTGATATTGCTCGAGCCATGGAATGTCTGCATGCTAATGGGATCATACACCGAGATCTTAAACCAGGTACTTTGATTTATATGTCAAGGGACTACTTTCCTAGTTGTAAATCTTGCATTGTCCTGATTAAGATGGCCGGATATGTATTCTAGTAATACTGTAATAGGCTAATAACTTGCGACTTGATCCTATCCCACTCCAATACCTTCATTCAATCATCTCGATCGATTTTTTTCTCTTTGTTTGCTGGCATGTTTGTACTATTAATGAAGCTTTGATGCCCATCACTACTCTGTTCAGTTTCCTGAATTGGTAATATGCATAAGCACTGTAAGTGGTTGAAACAATGCTTATACCAGTTTTATCCTGATTATGGAAGTAATGTTTTGGTCTGTAGATAATCTGTTGCTAACAGCGGATCAGAAGTCTGTGAAGCTTGCAGATTTCGGTCTGGCAAGGGAAGAGACTGTGACTGAGATGATGACTGCAGAGACTGGGACCTATCGTTGGATGGCTCCCGAGGTTAATGCCTTCTTTTCCTTCTCTTATGGTATAAAATTGGATGTCTGGAAAAAGCGTCTCTATTTTTCTAAAAGGGACTGTACACAATTTGTCAACCTTTTATTAGAGTGAGAAGGAAAGTCATTACTTGACAGAACAATTTGAGCTTGGTTTCTACGTAACAACATTTGAGTACTTCTCGTAATGATGGCATGCTTTCCAGTTTCCCGTATATCGTCATTATGCTGAGGGGAAGCTAAAGAAAATTCTGTTTTGGATTTTCGGACATAGTGGATACTTTAATTTTCTCTATTTGGGGTTCTCTTCATTGTCATAAAGGGTAGCACACGCTCTTACGAAAATCCATAATTTTAACGGTTATGAATATGAACTGTTGATTCTGTTTCTTGTGCGGATTTGCCTGCAAAAGGCACTCGCTTACCAGCGAGTCGTTGTAGCATACCTTCACTTACACATATGCCTATTGCAGCTGTATAGTACTGTAACCTTACGGCAAGGAGAGAAGAAGCACTACAACAATAAGGTTGATGTCTACAGTTTCGCAATCGTGCTATGGGAACTCTTGACCAACCGCATGCCATTCGAAGGCATGTCTAATTTGCAGGCCGCTTATGTTGCCGCGTTTAAGGTATCTACGTCTACTGATTACATGATGAAATTAGCTATAGCTACACTGTTCTCATTCCGAGTTTTCGGGAATACATACCTTGTGGAGCTATGTTGAGTAATCGCTTACCTAATTGTGATGATGCAGCAAGAGAGGCCCAGTATTCCGGACGATATACCCCCCGAGCTGGCTTTTATCATTCAGTCATCCTGGGTGGAAGACCCAAACTTGCGTCCCAGCTTCAACCAGATCATACGCATGCTAAACGCGTTTCTGTTCACACTATCGCCTCCATCACCGTCTCTGCTAGACTCCCAAGCCGACGAGGCAGCGGGGCCTTCGAGTAATGGCACGGTGACCGAGTTATCTGCTCGGGCAAGGGGGAAGTTTGGCTTCCTCAGGCAACTGTTTGCTGCTAAGAGGACAAAGAGCTCCTCCCCGCAGTCACAGTGAGCAGCTAATTTTTGGAGGAAGTAGTACTTTCCTTTCCTTTCCCTCCTCTTTTTGTTTCAGTTCAGCTCAGAGGTACCCTGCCCTTGTCCTCGAAGGTAATCAATTGTGAATTGTCTATGATGAAATCGATTAGCTTGTACCTGGACTGGACACCCAAGAGCAAAAAAAAAAAAAAAAAATGGACACGATACTGATAGAAACTGATGGGGAAATTTAGACAAAAGAAAGACGAAAGAGACAACGACGATCAGGTAACTGGTATTGACCCTGTTGTAAAGTAGTCAAGATGGGTCTAATTCTATAACACAAAAGGTATTTTTTTTTATCTATCTATACTGCTCTTTCCGCATTATGGAATCGGAATATGATTCTTCCACTGTCATTACCGCAACTGCTGTTGTTACTTGTTGCTGTACGAGCTGGGAATTTCTGTGTGATTTCATTGATGAATCAATGACCAATTTATACAGTATAGTTACAAGATCAGTAGTGCTAGTAGTGGGAGCAATATTAGGAACAGAATAACAGAAGGTTGTTGAGTGGAGATAATGGAGGAAGTGGCATTAGACCCGGTCTTCCTTAACACGCCACCGCAAGTTGATGGCGAATAACCTTCAACTTGTCTCGGAAATGTAGAAAACGCTGACGAGGTAGAGGCTTGGTGAGGAGATTGGCAACCTGATCTTCAGTGGAGATGTAACGAACCAGCAGGCGACCAGCAGCCACTCTTTCGCGAACGAAGTGGAAGTCTATTTCCATGTGTTTGCTGCGCGCGTGAAAGACGGGGTTGGCGGTGAGGTATGTTCCACCTAGATTATCACACCATAGCTTGGGAGGAGAGGTAAGTGGTTGGCCGATCTCAGTGAGAAGTGACTCGATCCAAACGATCTCTGTAGCTAGAGTGGTTAAGGCCTTGTATTCCGCTTCTGTGGATGAGCGTGCAATGGTGCGCTGTTTGCGGGATGACCAGGAGATGAGATGACAGTCGAGGTAGACAACATATTCGGTGGTGGATCGACGATCAAGAACGGAGTTTGCCCATGCCGCATCAGAGTAGCCTGAGAGAAGCAATGGAGAAGTGTTGCTGAAGAAGAGGCCATGGGTAGAAGTACCATTGAGGTAACGGAGAATTCTCTTGACATCGGACCAGTGGTGCTGCAATGGTTTGTGCATATGCTGCGCCGAAAAATTCACTTCCTGCGAGATGTCTGGGCGAGTGAACTGGAGGTATTGAAGAGCTCCCACGATCTGGCGATATAAGGATGGGTCACTGAAGGGGGTCGGATCGGGGTCCTTCGTGGCCGGGGCAGCCGGTGTGGAGATGGAGTTTGCATCACTCATCTTGGCTCGGTAAAGAATAGCTTGGATGTATTTTTGTTGTGTGAACAGAAGACCCGTGGGAGTCCAATGGGCTTGGACGCCAAGGAAGTAGTTTAGACGACTGAGATCGCGAACGGCAAACTTTCCTGCAAAAAGAGAAGAAGCGAGTGCATGGAGGAGCCTTGATTCCCGATTAGCAAAATGTCGTCCACAGAGACGAGGACATAGAGGCGAATGGCGCCGCGGCGGAGGATGAACAAGGAGGGATCGATTTTGGACCCCTTGAACCCATAAGACTCCAGTGCTTGGCAAAGACAATGGAACCAGGCTCGCGGCGCTTGTGTTAGGCCGTAGAGTGATTTCCGGAGATGACAGACGTGGTCGGGTCGAGCTGGGTCGACAAATCCTGGCGGTTGTTGCATATAAATCGGTTCAGAGAGGCTGCCATGGAGGAAGGCATTGGCGATGTCCAATTGACGCACCGGCCAATTCTGTGACATGACGAGAGAGAGGATGAGCCGAAGAGTTGTGGGTTTGAGGACGGGACTGTATGTCTCGCCGAAGTCGATGCTGGGGCGATGTTGGAAGCCGCGAGCGACAAGGCGGGCTTTGTAGCGTCGGTGGAACCGTCTGGCCGAGTTTTGATCCGGAAAATCCATTTGCAGGAGATGAGATTGTGATCAGTTGTAGGTGGGACAAGGAGCCAGGTGTTGTTTCGGAGCAGGGCATTGTATTCTTCGAGCATGGCAGCACGCCAATGGGGATCTTGTAGAGCTTCACGGGCGGTTTTGCCGTTTTGGGGATCGAGGGTAGAGGACGGGAGGTGGAAAGAAAAGTTTTGGGTTTCAGGTGGCCGGTTTGGCCTCTGGATCGCATATGATGAGACGGGGGTGAGTGAGTTTGGGGACGAGAAGGTGCGCGACGGGGCTGGGGAGCGATTGAAGGGGGAAGGCGGGGATGGGGAGGTGGGATGGCGGAGGTAGTGGGACGAGGGCGGTGAGTGCAAGGTTTGGTCGTCGTGGGAAGGGGAACAACGGGTCGGATGGGTGGGGTAGTGGTGGTGGAAAGGACAGGTCGGCGTTGGTATTGAAGAAGAGGTCGGGGAGGATTTGGTAGTGGCGGTGGATTGGTTGGGGAAGAGGACGATGGCAAAGGGGAACTGGGTGTGGAAGCACAAGGGGATGGGCTAGGTGAGGGGGATTCAGTGGGCTGGGAAATGGGATTGGGCTGGGAAATGTTAGCAGGCTGGGAGGAAGGTGGGCCTGGGGTGGTGGATGTGGGTTTATGGGCCGAAGTGGAAGGGGGTTGGGTGGGCTGAGGAGGGTGTGAGGATTGGATGCGTGAGTAGGGAAAGAAGGGGAAGAGGTCAGCAGGGAGTGGGAGCGAAGTGGAACCCGACGAGGTGGTGGAAAATGAAGAGGTGGATGTGGCCGAGAGATATTTGGGATTCGAGAAGGGGAAACAATGTTCACCGAAAAGAACATGTCTTAAGATGTGGACTTTGTTGGTAGCGAGATTATAACACTGATAGCCCTTGTGTGTGGAGCTGTAGCCAAGGAAAACACATGGGAAAGAACGAGGTTGGAGTTTGTGACGAGTAGTTGGGCGAAGCAAAGGGTAACAGAGCGTACCAAAGATGCGGAGACTGGAGTAGTCTGGTTTTTGGGAGTAGAGAACTTCGAGGGGAGAGCGATTAGCGAGCAGAGGGGTGGGCATGCGATTAATGAGAAAGACGGCAGTATCGAATGCGTAAGACCAGAATTTGAGAGGGACCGAGGCATGGTGAAGAAGAGCCAAACAACCTAACGACAAATTGAGTCTTCTTTTTTTCCCACCCCTTTTCCTCCCTGATTCTTCTTTACTTCTCCCTCATCATGTCGACTTCCTCCTCCTCCTCCTCTTCTGATGCCACAGACCCTATTCCCGCCGCCACAACTTCCCTCTCCCCCTTCAATCCTCCCTCGGCCCCTCACATCGCCACCAAACTCACATGTATGAACTATCTCCTATGGCAGATGCAACTTCTTCCCCTTCTTGCAAGCTTTGATCTTTCAAAGTTTATTGACGGCAGCTTCCCCGCACCACCTCGTACTCTCGATGGGGGCCAATCGAACCCTGACTACATTGCTTGGCGCCGTCTTGATCAACTAGTTTTTTCTTGGATTGCCGGCTCTCTCTCCGACTCTGTCCTCTCTCGACTAGTCGGCTGTTCCACGGCGTTTGAGGCCTGGACGCGTCTCGCCTCCACCTACGGCTCCGGCAACCAACAAACGTTACGCGGCCTGCGCACCCAGCTCAGCGAGCTTTCTCGTGGTACGGAGTCTTGTGCTCCATACATTGCTCGTGCACAAGACCTCACTGACCGCCTTGCTGCCCTGAATAACCTGATCTCCGACGATGAATTGGTTGATCGTTGCCTTCGTGGCCTCGGCGATGAGTTCCTGCCATTTGTTCGCACCATTGAAACCAAGCTGGAGCCTATCTCCTTTGCTGATTTTCACGGGCTCCTTCTCAACGAAGAACATCGGCTCCGCCGCCGTAGTCCTATTTCTGACAGTGGTCTCGCCCAAGAAAACTATGGACGCTATGGCGGGCGTGGCGGCACCCACCTCTATGGCGGCCGTGGCCGTGGTCGCCTTCCCGAACGCGGCCGTGGTTCGTGGATCGAGATACAACGGCGGTGGCCGCCCCTCTTACCCCTCTGTTTTTCACTCTTCTTTTGCAGGACCAAGCCACGGAGCAGGGCTACTTGGGCCCAGGCTCAATCACTACCCACCAAATCTGAACAGCAGCACGCTCCAATGTTACACCTGCCATGGCTATGGCCATCTCGCCAACGGGTTGGGGAGGTGGGACGGCTGAGGTAGTGGGACGAGGGCGGTGAGTGCGAGGTTTGGTCGTCGTGGGAAGGGGAACAACGAGTCGGATGGGTGGGGTAGTGGTGGTGGAAGGGACAGGTCGTCGGCGTTGGTATTGAAGAAGAGGTCGGGGAGGATTTGGTAGAGGCGGTGGATTGGTTGGGGAAGAGGACGATGACAAAGGGGAACTAGGTGTGGAAGCACGAGGGGATGGGCTAGGTGAGGAGGATTCAGTGGGCTGGGAAATGGGATTGGGCTGGGAAATGTTAGCAGGCTGGGAGGAAGGTGGGCCTGGAGTGGTGGATGTGGGTATGGGCCGAAGTGGACGATGATTGGAGTAGTTTGGTTTTTGGGAGTAGAGAACTTCGAGGGGAGAGCGATTAGCGAGTAGAGGGGTGGGCATGCAATTAATGAGAAAGACGGCAGTATCGAATGCGTAAGACCATAATTTGAGAGGGACCGAGGCATGGTGAAGAAGAGCCAAACCCGTTTCGACAATGTGTCTGTGTTTGCGTTCGACGCAACCATTTTGTTCGGGAGTGTAAGGACAAGAGGAGCGGTTGTTAGAAACATGTTTTCTAAGGAAAACGGGTTTCTATATCATTATCATTATCATTATTATTAGGTTTTATTAAATATGGTTAGTAGTCTTCTAGTAGAATTAGATTTATTCTTAGGGTTTTCTAGTATTTCCCTATATATATGTACTTTGGGTCATTCATCAGATTAAGCAGAAATTAATAAGAAAAGTCATCTCCCCAAATCCCTAATCTTCTCTCAATCTCGTCTATCTTTCTCTCTAAAGGCTTCGGCCATTCTATCTCTGTATAAACCCTAAATTCTCAATCTCTAGATTTGATCTGGAGACCCGTTAGAAATTTTGTTTCTAACATCTGGTATCAGAGCCCGGTTCCGACCGGCGAGTTTTTGTTAACTCCCTCAGGGGCAGCTTCCGGCCAGGAGAGTTACCAAGGACAGCAATGGAAAAATCGGAGCAGACGTGGGCTCAGAAGCAAGAAAAGATGTGGCAGATTGTGGGCTATTGGAAGGAGAGAGCGGCGCGCGGCGCCGCGGCGGGAAAGGAAGACGAGGGCGCAGCAGGGGCGGAGTTGGCGTCGCTCGACGAGGCAGGGCGGAGGCCGTGCGGCGCGCTGCGGCGTCCAAAGCAGCAGACGGCGGCGCAGGGAACGGCTCTCTCGAAGGGGCTGGCCGAGGCTGGGAGGAGGCCGCGCTATGCGCGGCGGCGCGGAAGGCAGAGACGGCGAGAGCAGGTGGCGGCATTGCTTCCTTACGGTCAAACCCTAGGGTGGCCTCCAACCGCGTAACACCACAGCAGCAACTATGTTCGTTGAGCCGAAACCTTCGGGCCACAGGTCTGAAGAGGCAAAAGGGAGTGGGCCTAGGAGAGGAGATGAGACCCATCATCCTTGGTCATAGGTTGGGCTGCATGAAGAGAGCTGTTGGGCTCTCCTTGGTGCGAAAACAACAACAGCAGCAATCCACATCAGTGGGCCGAGCAGAGCGACGGGACGGGCTAGCACGAACCGACCTTGGGCTGCGTACGCACAGACAAGCAGAGAGACTCCATAATGAAGATGGGCCTCATATAAGCCCTATGGAATCTCTTTTACAAAGTGTAGGCTTGAATATGAAGAAAGAAGAATTTGTGGGCTTAGGTGAGCACCCCAATTCTTACTTGGTGGATTTTGAAAAGGGGGGGTGGACAGTCAATAGGTCATGCTTACAACGCGAACCACATGGATAAGGAAGAAGTCATTGGAGTTGGAGTTGTTGGCGTGAGATACGTTCGAGTAGTAGAACATAATTGGAAGAAAAGAAAGCGCAAGAAATGAAGGCAAGACGTGGATTGCACGGTAGACATGAAGAAATGGGTTGAGTTGATCAAACTTGAGGGCAAGGTTGGTTTCAAGGGGGATCGGATGTTAGAAACACGTTTTCTAAGGAAAACGGGTTTCGATATCATTATCATTATTATTAGGTTTTATTAAATATGGTTAGTAGTCTTCTAGTAGAATTAGGTTTATTCTTAGGGTTTTCTAGTATTTCCCTATATATATGTACTTTGGGTCATTCATCAGATTAAGCAGAAATTAATAAGAAAAGTCATCTCCCCAAATCCCTAATCTTCTCTCAATCTCGTCTATCTTTCTCTCTAAAGGCTTTGGCCATTCTATCTCTATTCTTCCCCAAATTCTCTTCTCAAATCCCTAAATCCCCAATTCTGTTCTATAAACCCTAAATTCTCAATCTCTAGATTTGATCTGGAGACCCGTTAGAAACTTTGTTTCTAACAGCGGTGAAGGATGCTGTTTTCTTTGAGATAAGAGCCTAATTTTTGGTATTTGCCGCCCCAGTCTGCTTGAAAAAAAATTATGGGTCGATTGAAGAATTTTTCCACATGCGTGCAAAATGTGATAAATATGGAGAGAAGATTGGAGCGATGACGAGTGGGAAAGACCCATGTGACCTTACTAAAATGATCGTAGAATAAAATATAATAGAGATGACCATCGACAGAAAGTTCAGGAGAAGGTCCCCAAACATCACTACAAATCAAATCAAGAGGACTAGAAGCGGTAAAATCAGAAGGGGTGAAGGGGAGCTTGTGTATTTTGGCAACACTACATCCATGACACAAATGAACCTCTTGTTTATTGGAGACATGCAGAGAATGACGTTGGAGGACTTGACGAAGAACACGGGAGTGAGGGTGACCAAGACGTTGATGCCATTGGGAGAGGGTGGAATGAAACGCACGAGGAGCCACTTGGGAGAGAATGGAGAGTGGCACCGAGTACAACCCATCTTTACTGCGACCCTGATGGAGGATTTTTTGGGAGCGAGAGTCATTGATGATGAAAGAATCATTAACAAAATGAATAGATAATAGATTAGTACGTGTGAGAGAGTTGATAGAAAGCAGATTGTGAGAGGCAGAAGGAACATGAAGAATATTGTTAAGATGACAAGGGTGACTATTAAGTGAGACAAGGGAGGAACCAGAATGGGAGATGGGAAGAGAATTACCATTGCCAAGGGATACCTCGTCGGGCCAATTTTATTCGGAGTGAAGAGCGAGGTTGTTGAGATCAGAGGTGATGTGATAGTTCGTACCAGGATCCATTATCCAATCTTGGGAGGTTGAGGAGGAGGCATAATTGGTCGAGGGTGGAAAGCGGGACGTGAGGGAAGGGTTGGGATAGTGTTTGGCGAGATGGCCATAGCCATGGCAGGTGTAACATTGGAGCGTGCCGCTGTATCTCGATCCACGGCCGCGTCCGGGAAGGAGACCACGCCCACGGCCACCATAGAGGTGGCTACCGCCACGCCCGCCATAGCGGCCATAGTTCGCTTGGGCGAGACCACCGTCAGAAATAGGACTACGGCGGCGGAGCCGATGTTCTTCGTTGAGAAGGAGCCCGTGAAAATCAGCAAAGGAGAGAGGCTCCAGCTTGGTTTCAATGGTGCGAACAAATGGCAAGAACTCGTGCAATTATGCGCATTTATGGTGACAAATGACAATATCAGTGCAATTCAAATTGCAATTAATCCAATTTTGCATGAGTGAACCAAGCATATCGAGGTCCATGTTCCTTATATACGACAGCTGGTTACAGAAGGTATTATTCATCTATCTCATTTGTCGACTGAAGATCAAACTCAGATGTACTAACTAAAGCCTTAAGCTCTAGCAGACATTGGTATCATTCTTCTAAATTGATATTACGTACCCAACATCAATTTGAGGGAGGGTGTAAATTCTCCTACCTTATTGGAGTAGGATTGTATTAGGTTTTATCATTCAGAAACCTATAAATATTGTGACTTGGTGAACCTTAGGCTTTAAGCCGTCATAATATAAAAAATCTGAGAGGGAGATCCTCTCCGTGGACTAGTGTCATCTTGACAATACCACGTTAAAAAATCTCGTGTGTTTGTGTTCATGATCTCTAGTTGTTTGGCTTGATAAATTGACAACCTAGCCGCGCTCCTCAACATCGCCTCTCCGAGCTCCAAGCTTCTTTCCAGATGTCGCAGTAGCACCATGCCTCCTCCTCGTCGCCCCTCCGAGCAGAGGCCTCGTTGCCCAGGCTCCGAGCTCTTTCCCTGTAGTCGTCCTGGGTTCTGATCTAGGCCAATCTGGAGATTTGGGTTCCGATATGGGTTAGTGATGACAGGAGGAGAGGGAATCGTGTTGGCAAGTTGAGAGGGACTCCGACGCTGTCGACGAGTTGGAGCGGGTCTCCTCTTCTTCGTCACCAAATCGTCGCATCCCGTGCCACCGATGCCGTCGACCATGCTCCACTCGGCCACTGCGCTTCAATTGGGCATTGTTTATAATTAGGGGTTGCATGTAACGAGAACAATTGGGGGTGCATTTCAATGGGGGGTTTTCTTGGTTTTAATTAGGGGTGGGAATCGGTCGGTAAACGGTTTGCCATTTACCGAATTTACCGGTTTCGGTATACCGACGGTGGCCAAACTGTTTACCGTTTACCGATACCGGTTTGTAACCGGTTTACCGATTACCGAATTACCGGTAAACGGTTACAAACCGGTTTACCGAATTACCGTGAAGGGCGACGTGGGAAGCAATTCTGCAATTCTTACCCGGCGGAGCAGGACGACAGGAGCGGGGGAGGACTGGGAAGTGGGAACTGGGAACGGGAAGGGCTGGCGAGTGGCAACGGGAAGGGCTGCCGACGGGACTGGGTACGCGTCGCGCGTCGGCGAGGGAAGGGAGAGACCCGGCGATTTACCGGCGAGGGAAGTGATCTAGACTCGAATGGTTATATGATCGAATAGAGAAGAGAAGAGTAAAAGTAAATACCAGGTCGGGCCTCATTCTTGAAGTACAGGACGCCGACAGATTCTTGGTGGAGCCCTGTTACCCACCTCCCCCAAACAACAGAATTAGGCAACAATGACATCACAATAACAAATTCAGAAAGTGAGTCGTCATAGAAAGAAAAACAGAGGATTGTGATGTATATAGATAAGCACGCACATGTGTGTTAACGACGCCGCCGAAGAATTTCTCGATGGCACGTCCGCCGGAGATATCATTCCTACAGAAACAGAGTGGATAGATTCAGACAGTGCAAAAATGAAAATTGCAATTGATGGAGGGAGGGAGCAAACAATTAACAACTCACCCATGGATGAAGAAGCCGGCATCGGAGACACATTTGACTCGGGCAGTTGGAGGGAGGAGTGCCTTGAATTTGTCGGCATCGGAGACGCATTTAATTCGGTATCGGTAATACCGGTTTATCGTCGGTATTTACCGATACCGTGTCCGGTAAACCGACACCCCCAACCTTCCCCTTGGCTACCGATACCGCCGGTAAACGGTTTACCGTTTACCGTCGGTTACCGGTTCGGTAAAACGGTAAACCGTTTACCGGATTACCGAATCCCACCCCTAGTTTTAATTGCTTGTAACGATTGGGGGTTTACTAGTTTGAATTGGGGTTGCTTGTAAGGAGAACAGAGAGAACTCAGGCACCTGCCGGATCTGCTTCAGCGGCAACAACCGGAAGTAATTTTTTAAATATATAGTATCACTATCACTCTGTTTGGGAAGTGATATAAATGGGAGAGGTGCAAATATGAGGGGTAAACACGGTTTCCAACACATTTGCATCTGTTTGCTTAATTTGGAATGGTAGGGGGTGCAAAACGGGAGTGCAAATTTACTGTTTCGGCTTACCACCCAAATTGTGGTGCAAGGGAAGGAAGGAAGAGAGGAGGAGGAGGAGTGGAAAATTAATGTAGACATTATTCGGTGTTGACCATTTGACTCCGAAAACAAGTTTATCAATGTTCGTCAAGTCAAATATAGATCTCTTGGTTGACTCGAATTTGCATTGAAAATTAGCAATACAAAGTGTTTGTGGAAACGATAGAGAGAAATTGTTTGGTTAACTCAGTTTATTTGACTAAATAGTTAAAACTTACAAATTCGAATGTGTTTGACTAAGTTTGACAATTTAAAACTAAACTAGACACGAAACCCTATATAGGATGACCAGTTACGAGTTGAGTTTCGAGTTTTGAGATCGCTCGATCAATGATTATTACAATTGTTATAATTAATTATTATTTGAGCATTATTATAGGTTTCTAGGTCACACCACAGCGTTGTACCTAAGGAAATGGCTCATAAAGCGGCAGTTCATCAGTCGGGCATTTAAGGGAAAGCAAGCAAAGCTCCCGTGGAGAAGGAGTTGCGAAATGAATATCGACGAGTGAAAAATCAGGCTAAGAGTAAGCCAAAGGGACAACGAGCAAGTCGCATTACAAACGAGAACTTATTAAAGTATATTTATTATTATATAATAATATTTATTTTATTATTTTGTTATAATATTTTATAATTTTATACTAATATAATTAATTACTTTTCACTCTATTTGCACACTACTTTTTCATCCAAACAACAATTTACCCCTCCACTTACACCCCCAACAATTTATCCCTCAACTTGCACCCCCCTGCAATTTGCACCCCCCTTGTTGCCAAACAGAGCGTATGAGAAAATCGGGGTCGGGGTTTATCAATTTGATATTAGAGTATAGTATCATACCCCAAACTCGATTTAATTCATGATCTACATAGAGATATCTCACTATGAGTACATAGAGTATAGTATGCTCCAGGAGCACACGAGTCTGACCCATATATATGAAGACGACTGCTATGCTCCAGGAGTATAGTATGGTCCAGATGATCTGACCGTTAGTTTTTTTTTTTTGGTAGAAGACCGTTAGATTTAAATGGATTAGCTTCGGCCAATCTCAACGGTCAACTCTTCTTTTCTCTTAAATTGAACTTTGGTTTTGGGATTAGAAAATCGGAGCCTGTGATTTATCCATTTGAGGTTAGAATATAGTAATATAGTATCATACCTCAAACTCGATTTAATTCATGGTCTAGATAGAGATATCTTACTATGAGTACATGGAGCATGGTATGCTCGAGGAGCACACGAGTCTGACCCTTATATATGGAGACGATTGGTACGCTCCAGATGATCTGACCGTTAGATTTACATAGATTAGCTCCGGCCAATCTCAACGGTCAACTCTTCTTTTCTCTTAAATTGAACTTTGGTTTTGGGATTAGAAAACCGGGGTCTGGGGTTTATCCATTTGAGGTTAGAGTATAGTATCATACAACTCATACCCCAAACTCGATTTAATTCATGGTCTAGATAGAGATATCTCACTATGAGTACAAGGGGCATAGTATGCTCAGGAGCACACGAGCCTGACCCATATATATATATATATATATATATATATATATATATATATATATATATATATATATATATATATATATATATATGGCAAAGGCTAGCGTACGCCCGGGCGTACTTTAGTCTACCGTACGCCCGTTGAGTTTTGCTATTTAGACAATGAATTAACCGGAGTTTTTGGCATGATACTATACCCTAACCTCTAATGGATAAAACCCAGTCCCTAATTCACTAATCCAAAGCATAATATTCATTTAATCTTGAAATGAAAATCAACGGTCTTGATTTGTCAAAATTATTGTTGATTTACTTTTTAAGATTAAATGAATCTCATGAGTTGGGTTAGAAAATTAGGGACTGGGGTTTATCCATTTGAGGTTAGGGTATAGTATCATGCCAAAAAATCCGGTTAATTCATTGTCTAAATAGCAAAACTCAACGGGCGTACGGTAGACTAAGGTACGCCCGGGCGTACACTAGCCTGAACCATATATATATATATATGGTGCATTCTATGGTACCCCAGGTGAAATCCAGGGTACCGCATACCTTGAGTATGAAAACTCTATCTAGATCTCGAATTAGCAGGATTTCTGGGCATGATATTATACCCTAACCCTTAATGAGTGAACCCTAGGTCCTAATTATATAAATCATAAACTATAAACCCTAAGATGGTGCATTGTTTTTTTGCTTATATTTGGACGAATCATAACCGTCGATTATTAATTCTAATTAAATTGATCTTGGGGTACAAGATTTAGAGAATTAAGACCTAGATTTTGATCTTTAAGAGTTAGATTATAGTACCATGTCCGAAAGATCAGTCAATTCAAGTTCTGGATAGCGTTTTATAACTCAAGGTATGCGGTACCCCGGATTTCACCCTAGGTACCGTAGAACTCCCCATATATATATATATATATAGGGTGCCTTCTATGGTACCCAGGGTGAAATCCAAGGTACCGCATACCTTGAGTAAGAAAATGATATACAAAACTTGAATTGACTGATCTTTCGGACATGATACTATACTCTAACCCTTAAAGATCAAGATCTAGGTCTTAATTCTCTAAATCTTATACCCCAATATCAATTTAATTAGAAACAATAATCGACGGTTATGATTCGTCCAAATATAGGGTTTATAGTTTATGATTTAGATAATTAGGACCTGGGGTTCGCTCATTAAGGGTTAGGGTATAGTATCATGCCCAAAATCCTGCTAATTCGAGGTCTAGATAGCGTTTTCATACTCAAGGTATGCGGTTCCCCGGATTTCACCCGAGGTAACGTAGAAGTCATATACAAGTTTTTTAGTTTTAACCGAAATAAAAAATTATTTATATTTTAAAATGGAAAGCACTTCGATAGGCTTCGTGATGGTTAAGTGAACTGACACTAAACACCTGTTTTGTTGTAGTGTATAAATGAAGTCACAACAATTTTACTAAATTTAATAGTTAATATTTAATGGTTCAATTTTTAGGGTAATTCAAACAATTTTACAAATAACTCGTATGAAAACAGTTTACTGAGGGGTCGTTTGGATGGAGTATTTGTATGAGTTATTTGAGTTCAAATAACTCACAATGAGTTATTTGGACGCAAATAAATCGTTTGGCAGCGTTTTACTGAAATGAGTTATTTGGACAGTGAGTTATTTACAAATAACTCAAAACGAGTTATTTGAAATAACTTATACTCATGTGTTATTTCGAAATAACTCGTTTTATCACTCTGCTTTTACCAAATACCACATGTCAAATACCACATTTCCATGATTCAACCAAACGAGATACTTTATTTCAATTACCACTAAAATAACACTGAATACCCACATGAGTCATAAATGAGTTATTTGACTCTACAAATACCACATTGACAATTAACCCATCCAAACGACCCCTGAAGTTATTAGGGCAATGAGTTATTTCGAAATAACTCCTTTTACCACTCTGCTTTTGCCAAATACCACACTCCAAATACCAGATTTGCATAGTTATACTAAATGAGATACTTTAATCCAATCACTACTGAAATAATAATAAAATATCAAATAAATAATTAATGGTGTCTTTTGGTTGCAAATATTGATATAACCATTACTATTAGCTAGTGTATTTTACTAATTACGATTAATTACATAACAAGTTTGAAAGCCATATAAATTGATTCAACATTGTTGACTAGTTTTTTTTTTAATTAAGTATATATGCGAGGTAGAAATAAATCGGTTAAAAATTGAGAAAAATATTTTAAATTAGTGTAATAAAATGTGTAAGTTGGTAAGGAGTAATGAGTAAGTTACTAGATGCGCTGACCCGAACAACCCGCAACCAGCCCGACCCGCAACCCGATGAACTCGCAACCTGATTTGGCCGCAACCCGATTGAACACGAACCCAATGAACCCGCAACCTGACTAACCCGCAACCCATTTGAACCCAAACACGACGAACCAAACACGATAAACCTGCAACCCGATGAACCCGAACCCGATTGATCCAGCCCGAACCCGATCGAATCCGTCCAATTGAAACCTATACCAAGAAGCGTAAAATCATAAGTTTTAAAGTTTTAAAACGCGATTTTGACGGTATTGAGGTAAATATCTCCCCGCCCGAACCACCGAGTGGCAATGCACTTCTCCGGTCATTTCGGTCTGGTCAGGCAGCCAGAGCCAAAGCTTTCAGCGGACTGTTTGGCCGCCTCCGTTCCTCTCGGCTCTCGCCCTGCCCTTGTTCGCCAACTCGCCTCCGTCTCTCCCTACCCGACTCTACCACTTCCCTCGGGTTTTTCTGTCACTCAATCTTTCCTTCTCCGTTTCTCTTCCAATTCAAAGCTCAGTCAGTTAGCCGGCGAGTCCTCAAGAACAATGAACACGGTATCCGTATCCCTCAAAAACCCTAAAATGGCGTCCTGCTACTACTCTCCACTCCCAGCACTTCCCTCCTCTTGTCCTTCCATTCCCTCCCTCCATTTCCAACCTTCTTCGTATTCGCTTACCGACTGCAGAACTTCTTCAAGACTCTCGATCGATCTTCTTCCTCCCAACGGCCTACGCCTTGGCCTCCCTTCTCTCCGCTGCATGACTCGTCTGACTTCCATCGTCGCCTCCGCCGCTTCTCGCCAAGAATCGGTATACCTCTACCTCTCTCGATTTTGTTTCGCATTGCTTTCTTTACCGTCTTTTTTTTTTGCTACTGATTCAGTATGTTTGAAGAACCAATTTGGTTATCCTGCTCTGTAAGCAATGATTATGATGTGGTCGTTGAATTGACGGTGGCGCTTTCTATGGTGAAAACCATCCATTAGGCGCACCCTGATTTCGAAGTGGAGAAGAATAACGAGGATCTCGACGCCAGGAATCAAGAGTCTCAGGAAGCTTGGAAGAAGGCCCTTGAATCGTTCAAGGAACAGGCCATACACATGAAGGGAATCTCTCAGGAAGCGTACGAAGTCTATTCCAAGAAGGCCATGGTCATCCTGGGAGAGACGTCGGAGCAGCTCAAAATCCAAGCTGAGAGGGCCAGGAGAGATTTGAATTCCTTGGCTAAGGAGATTAATGAAGCTGCCGAGAACTCTCCTGAAGGTGTTAGGGATATTCTGGAGACTATCAGCTCATCTACTGATGTCAAAGATTTCTCTGAGCTCAAGGATTACCACGTTGGAATAGGTTACGGTATGTGTGTATGGATTGAATGCGTTAAATTCGGTTCTTCTTATGGTGCTCTTCATTCAACCATTATTGCTTCGTCATATCGCTTTTTCTCTCAGGTTCCATTGTGTTTGCTGGTGGGTTTGCTGCGTTCATGTTGGCCGGGAGCATTTCTGCTGTTAGGTTCGGTGTGATTCTTGGTGGCGCTCTTTTGGCACTTGGTATAGCAAGTCGAAGAGCTCAGAACAATGGAGAGGCATATGATGTGCCTTTGAAAGGACAGACAGGTTGGGTATTTGACAGTTGTACTGTGTTCCACAGTTCAGCCATTTCATTTTTATATCAAGTGTTTATTTGACTTGTTGTCGCTTCTGCAGCAATTGCCACGATAATTTTCCTTAGGAAGATCACTCTGCTGTTTCAGGTGCAGAAGCTACATTCATCACTTCTCCCCTCTACCCGCCCCTCTTTATTTATTCCTTGATTCCCCATGTTTTATCTACGCGTGGTATTGCTGCTAATAGTTTTTGCTTCCCTCATTTTGCAGAGAGGTTCTCTTTTCCAATTCGTTTCGGCTGTCATCAGGTCTGTAACCTGTTTCTCTTTGACCTTTTCTTTACCTTAGCAGAAGTGTAATAGAACGAACTAAGGTAGGCTCAAAGAAATGATTTTGGTGGATTTGCAGTAGTTGTACTCAGCTTTGCCTTTGTTAGAGCTCAGTACTTTTCCGTATCCCTTGTGGGTCTCTTAACTAATAGTTCTTCTTCTTTCTGATGGCTTGGTTTGTTTCGGCAGTACTGCTGTGCTCGCGTTTTACTGCTATAGGATTGGCATGCTGAAGGGGACTAAATGGGGAACACCTGCAGAAGAGTGATGCCCTCGTCCAATGCCTGCATGAGATATCTAAGATGTCTGTTGTCGTTGGGCAGATGTTTGCTATTTCCTGTCAGTGATCAGAGACAAATACAAATTTAGACCCTGAGACATCATTGCAGCTGATGTTTGAGGCAGAAGGTAGTGTATGTTAGTTAGGCTCGGGCAGTAGGATAGGTGGAGGTTATTTAGGTTGCTTCCAGTTCTAGAGCATCTGCAGCGCAAAATGCAGTGTGTCCTTGCTACCTTTTCTGGGCTGTGTTCTGATTGTGCATGCGGTATGGAAGCAACAGGGTTTCGTAGTGATTCTGAAGGGTGTTTTGGCATTGAAATGTCGGATCTGTTTAGCCCTTCTATGTTCTTAGGATCGACATGTTTAAGGCCAACCAGTTACAGAACCTACTTTGCGAAATGAAACTGGTCGCGGTTTATCTTCTATGGTTTCGAGGTGGTTTGAATGTGTATTCAACTATTGTTTTTGTCAATAGAATAGCCTCTTCCAAAATCAAATAGATGCTAGTCTCCTGCAAACAGATTATGGCCTGAAAACAATGCGTTGAGGAACATAGGGCTTTCTTCATCAACTGGAAAACAAAGTGGATGAGGGGAAAGAGGATATATACCCTCGCAGGAATTCACTCCGTCGCCCATAAATCCATGAGGGCACTTGCAGCCTTCTGAAGAGTCCTGAATTAGAAAAACCATCGTGAAGTAAATACAAGTTTGGAGAGTTGAAATGATAAAGAGACAACAAGAGATGCAGAAAGAAGTGTTTTGTAGTTAGAAACTGGATTTTACTCACAGTGCATGAGAAAATGTCATGCCATCTTAGGATTTCTTCCAACATCCTCCATTGTTGATTCCACAACGTAAAGCACCAGAAGCTGCAGAAAACACAAAAGCAGAGGGCATGAGGTGACGAGATATGCATAAAACTGAATTTTCGATAATGACTCTATCTTATACCATGAGTTGGAAGATTGTAACCAGTTAGACCAATACCAGTTTTGAAGAATTATTTCATTACTAGCAAGACCTACAATAGGCTTAAGCTATATGAGTCAAAACAAAGTCATGAGAATCCTTTTAGGCATAGCAAGAAGGCAAGAATATTTTTTTTTTTTGAACTAACACGCAAAGACATATTATTAAATCCATGCAACAACTGAAGTAACAAAAATATCATTAAATCCATGTTAAACTTTGCTATAGTGACTTGCAAGTCACCGTAACTTGGACAAAATGGTCGATCTATTTATTGATGAGGTCCACCTATCTGGACCAAACGGTCAACATGTTCACTAATGAGGTCGGCCTATTTGGACAAAACGGTCGACATCATCACTGATATGGTCGACCTATTTGGACAAAATGGTCGACCTCATTGTTGGAATGGTCGACCAGATGTACTATTTTTCATTTGTTTATGTTTAACAAATGGTCAACCTCTTCCACTGAAAGGGCATTATACACAAAAATGGTCTACCACTTTTATCAAGTGGTTTACCTCTTTCTCTAAGTGGTCCACCTCTTTTAATAATTGATCCACCTGATGAACCATTCCTAGTGATATTATCATATATAATTAGAGTCCAATAATAATAGATATTATTTCTAGTAAGATATTTAAAATTAGTACAAAGGTTGCAAGCATAGATGACAAGTTTCTCAAGTGAATGTTCTCTCGTAGATTTGAAAAATGTTACACATATTTATTTCTTATGTTGCGTTACTACAAAAAACAATTTTATATTGTTGTTCTCATATTGTCCATTATTTTCCTAATGTAAGTATAAGGTAACTGTGTTATTTATGCGACTAATCGTCAAAAGTGGAGATCATTTGCCAAAAGAGATATGTAAACCATTTTGCGAAATCGGTAGGCTGTTTTGGCGGAAGCGTTCTACCTCCTCCAACAAGCAGTTGTAAGTTGATGGTAAGTGTGTCACATGTCAACACATTGCCAGAAGCGGTAGACCGACTGCCTCGAGTGGTATACCACTTGGTAGAAGAGGTCAACCACTTAAAGTAATTGTGTCATCAGGTCAACCCATTTCTGAATCGGTAGACCAGTTGACTTAAGTGGTATAGCACTTGGTGGAAGAGGCCGACCATTTTCTTGGAAAGTGGTCGACCACTTGGTGGAAGAGGTACACCACTTGGAGGTAAGTGTGTCATCAGGTCGACCCATTTTTGAAAGTGGTAAACCGGATGACTCAAGTGATAGACCACTTGGTCAAAGAAGTTGACCGCTTGAAGGTAAGTGTGTCATTAGGTCGACCCATTTCTGAAAGTGGTAGACAACTTGGTGGAAGAGGTCGACCATTTTCTGGGAAAGCGGTCGACCACTTAATGAAAGAGGTCGACCGATTTCTCCAAGTTACGATGACTTGCAAGTCACCGTAGGCATACCCTAACCTTAAAAACTTAACATCGAACCCACCACATCATAAAAACTCGTCACGTCATATAGATCCAACCTAACCCAACCCAATAACCTATGATAGGCCCACTCAAATTAAAATTAAAATTAAAATAATTCTAAAAACTAAAAATATTGAAACTTCTCATCTCTCCGTCGCTCAACTTCCACAGAGCTTTCTTCCCCATCCTTCCTCTTCCAAAATCATCGTCACCGATCTTCCTCAAGTTGCTACTCCGGCGGCACCATCGAGAACAAGCCTAAGAACTCCAACCCGTCGAGTAGTGACCTCCGAGTCAAGATATAAACCAATGCGATGGAGCATATCCGCTTGACGAAGACCCAACCATCATTGCAGTAAGCCACAAACCTAGAACGTCATTGGAGCATATGCGCTCTAGGAGGGCGACTCAACCATTGCTGCCACAAAACCATACCATCGATGGAGCAGATCCTTCTCTTGATTTATGCCTCTTCTGTTCCCCGACCTAGCCACGAAAAGAAGAAGCGGCCGCAGAATCTAGAGATTGCCCAATCGTCGTCGAAAGATAAATCAACGTTGGGTTTGGGAAGAAGAAATCGACTACTTCCTCTTGAGTTTTCCTCCAATCAATTCGTTGGGGCTCTTTCTCTCCTAAGCTCGCGAATCCCACATCGGCATTAAATTGAAGAAAAGGAGGTAGACTGAATCCTCCCGTCCGTAACGCCCAACAAAAGAATCTGATCCAAACTCTCCTCGGCCCGCACCATCTAAAATCCCAGCCCGTAAGTCTCCCCCAAGTTCCTCAGTAGTTAGGGCGACAAGCTCGTCCTTGCTATCCCGACTGATATGATCCAAATCCGAAGAGAATCCCCGAACTCGGATTATATGACCAAAGTACGCAGCCTTTCATATTTTTAAGGATTTTCGAAGCTTTTCTCCAACTTGAACAACTTGAAATAAATGATAGATATGAAATACGATCAAACATATTCCAACTAGTGCGAAGGGCCAATTGGTATATGAAATCAATCAAACAATCACCCACTCGTGAATAAGGCCAATCGCTATTTGGTAGATGTTCGCCACAACTAGACGCGTTCTCTAGTTGATAAGAGACACGTAAAATCTCCTGGAATCCTCGATAGAAGCTTGCACAAAGAACCAGTTCGTATGAACTTGAAGCTTGAAACTTGATTGATAATTGAATGCGTTACAATGAGGAACTCAACCCTTTATTTATAGACTAGCTAACACAAATCTAAAGCTTAAAATGAAAAACAAGTCCTACAAGTAAAAGGAAAACCACAATCCTTAAAAGACAAGTAAAAAGAAAACACAATCCTTAAAAGATAAGAAAAAGACTTGGTCAACAACTCCCTAGATTCTAGCCTTGCAATCTGTCAGCCCTTCCCTTGTGTTCCCACCTTTGATTCCTTTCCCACCTTGATCCCTTTCACACTTGAGACTCCCCTTCTCTTCCTTAGTCGAATCCTCTTCTCTCTTGAAGCCCAATTCCCCTTCATTCTGGTCCATGAATTGTAACAATGTAATGGGCTTCCTTTGATGTATATCCACGTCCATGTGAGCATAATGACGATCCAAATAAGCAGCAAACTCCTCGCTTGTCCTCTTGCCTTGTAAACGAGTAATTGGACCTTCATGTGATGAAATGGACTTGGATTTGATGCCCTCATCACCGACGACAAGTTTCGTTACCAAGGCGGCCAAACTCGCGTCCTCCATCCAGTGCTCAATCTCCTTCTCTGGTGAATTACCAAACTATTTCCCTTTGCAATTTCATCCCCCATTTTCCTCCACTTAAGAGTTAAATTGAGATTTTATGTTTCAATTACCACCAGTTCTTCACCAAGTTGAGCAAATTTTATGGGGTGTTATGGTGAGCTTGCATTGTCAGCTGTCGTCGGAAGCATATCTCGACGATAGTAAGCGTAGTCAAACCCGATGAATGAGCAATTTGAGGCACACAGATCACCGACAATGGGTTTCTGAGCAAAGTTGATTAGGTTTTAGAAGAACCGAGTCGACTAGGGCTTTCCTTAGTGTTAGACCTATTTGTATAGTTTACTTTTATTGGGTCCTTTCTAGTAATTTACCTTATACTCGTGTTTACTGTTAAGGGTATACGAGGGTGCTTTAGTTGTAGCACTAACCCTAAACCATCACTAGTGATCATCATCGAGCTTCATGCTCACCACCGTGGAGTAGTCCTGACATTCAGGGAAACCACGTAAATCTTTGTGTGCTCTTTATTTTTCGCGATTATACTTGTTCTCATGGTATCTGAGCTGTGAGCTTCGATTCAATTAATCATGGGCAAAAAAGAGGAGGTCAGTGGCGCCAACCACGAGCCCATCGAGGCTAGTGCAATTTCGATCAGCTCCCCCCCTTTATCTGTCCCCTTCAGGAAATCCTGCTCAGCTTTTCGGTAGTGATTTGTTGAAAGACTCAAACTACGGTGAATAGGTAAACGACATCAGCGAAACCCTAACTAAAAATAAGCTCGCTTTCGTCGATGACAAGTTCCCACGATCCAAGGCAAGCGCGACATTGCAGAAAGATGCATGGGGATTGTTGTGATGCCACAGTGAAGGGCTGATTGAAAACAGCGATGACTCGCGAGGTACGCAACAACATACGTACTGCCTCCACCGCTCAAGAGATTTGGGCGAAGTTGCATAGGCGTTTCTATCGCCGCTTTGCTCAACGAGCCTACGAACTTCGCCACAATATCAACAGCCTCCACCAAGACAAGCTTTCAGTCTCGCCTTCTACACTCAACTTCATTCGTATTGGGACGAAATGCAGTCGATAGGGGGAGTCCCGTTTTGCACTTGTGGTGGTTGTTCATGCGACTTGGTTTGCCAATCTCAGGAAAAACACGACAGTGAGAGGCTTTTCGAATTTCAAATTGTTAAATATTATGTCAGGAAAAATGGAACGAATGATTAATACAATCTAAATGCAATATTGTGAAAATATAACCTTTTCCATATTATTAAACCTTTGTCCATTAATATTTTACGGTTTATATATTGTTAATATAAACAAAATAAATGATATTTTGTATACTAATTGTCAATTATATTAATATAAAATAATTATATATAATGTAATAATGACGCTGTCATCACGCTATCAACTCTAAGTTCTTCTGAAATAGACGCTCTCGCTCCCGCTCTGCTCCACGAACTGGTCACCTAAGGACGGACTGATCGCCCACTCCCCCGCTGCGTCTACCCTTCTCATCTGCAAGCCAACTTCGGATCGATGGTTGATTTACAATAAACTCACCTCCTGTACCGACCTTCTACATCGATTCCGGTTCTTCACGGTCAATTTCATGCGAAGTGCGTGCTTCTTCTCGTTCTAGTGACAATTCGTCCACTTCTCAGCCCGATCGGAAGCTGTTTCCATACCCCTCTGTCTTTGCTTCTATCCCGCCGACAAGCATGTCTGGTCGGGGAAGCGTGAAGGAGATTGGGTCGGGAGAGCCATCCGCTGTGTTTGTGATTTCCACCCTCCTTCCCGGCGATTCTAGGTTCGGTGGATTCATTGTGCTTTCTGTTGTTTGCCATGCCATGATAAAATCTACAGAAATCAAGAAAGAACAACACAATTTGGGATAGGAACCGTCGTTTTTGTATTCCTAAAAAATGGTGGTAAACACGTACTCAGCTGCCGAACTAGTTTGGATTAAGATTTTTATCGGGTGTCAGGGAACCATGTGATTATAAATTAGGCTTGATCAAAATGTGACAAAACTTGAAATTCAGCTTGTTTTACCGACCCTATGCCAAACTCCAATTATTCTTTACTTTTAAACTTTCTATTTGAAACTGAAAAATAGTGAAAGAAAAGAGAAGACTGCAATTCGCCATTTTCACATCACTGCTTTGGGAACAAAATCATAGAAAGTTGAAAGGAAACTGAAAATATTTAGGATTGTTTTAATGTTAACAATAACCAAATACATCTTTCTGTTTAGTTTTTTTACTAATAAATACCAAACGCTTCCCTATAAAATATACTATAATTTAATCATTATGATATCAAATAATTACATAATATATATTTGAAATGATAAACATTGGACTAATCAAATTGGTCGAGGTTTCACCATTTAATAACTTTAAAATACATTATATTTTAGCCACAAAGATATAAAATAATAGCATAATATATGTTTCAAATTAGGAAACTAGGCTAATCGAGTTGGATCGTAGGTTAACCATTTATCCCTTTCTGTGAGTTGATGAATGGATTGTTCCATTCGAATTAATAACTTTGAAGACAAGATAAAAGTTTTATAAAGAAAATTAATCGACCAACGGGCCGAGTTAAAGCTAGCAACGATTGTGAGATGCTCATTTCTCGAAGACTGCTCTCTGACACTCGCCGACTGGAAAGTTGTTTGCATAACGAACGATGGCAACGTTGCGAGCACAGACTGAGCTAGGGTAATACGTCCTGCCAGTGAGAGAGTCTTTACCTTCCAGCCAGCCAACCTCGAGTCGATCCTTTCAATGAGCGATATAAATGTCGTTTTTGAGACTCGATGGTGTATAACCGGCACCCCCAAGTACCTTCCCAGGTTGTTCGTCTTCGGAATGTCCAGAGCCTCGCTAATTGCATTTCAACTGGCTGTAGATACATTCTTCGAGATAGGCGATTTTTTATTCGGTTTTCTAGAATTTGGTTTCTAAAAACTTACTCCACTTCCTCATATTACCAGAAATAATACTGTTTCACAAGCTAACACGTACTCGAACTTGGTTCATAAGACTATTTTTGATTGCATAATTCATGCCTCTTTTTTGCTAAAATTCACTATCTTTATCACATGTTTCTAAAAAAAAGCTACACAACAATAATCTATACACCCCATTACATTATCAAATGGGTTAATACACTAGTTTGGCTAGAAGTTTAGCGTGAGTGGCAGTTCTGGCCCCATTTTTCAAATAAGACATTTATGGCCTACTTTTGAAATTATTAGACAAATTTGGCATGATACTTGTGTTGATAGTTAATGTTGACGGTCAAACATTCTTAGCGTTAATGACTCAGCAAAATACTTGTGACGTGGCTGATGTTTGATCACCACATCATTAAATAATTATATATTTAATTTTCTGAAAAAAAAACATAGCATCAAATTGTTCGGGGAAAACCCCTACTTCTCTCTTGACTTCCGGTCAAAATCCCTACTTTCCCCATTCTTCCGCCACTCATCTTCCTTGAGCCTTCGCCGCCGCACCCTCGATCTTCCCTCCACCATCGACCTCCTTCCTTCAGCCTCCCACAACCTCGACGCCGCCGCCATGATTGTGGTCGTTTCCCAGAGACACATCGCGCCCTCGGAGCCTCCGCCGCCGCGCCTTTCATCTTCCCTCCACCATCGACCTCCTTCGTTCAATCTCCCAAAGCCTCGACGCCCCCGCCTTGCTTGTGGTCATTTTCCAGATCTACATTGCGCCCTCCGAGCCATCGTCGTAAAGATCGATGCCATTCCTCGTGACCGCAACCCTTGATATGCTTCGTCACTCTCGACGCCATTGTTGTAGAGATTGACGCCATCCTCCGTAGGTACGTCCTCGCGTCGTCGTCGTCGTCGTCAACCACCATCGTCTCTCCGCCAGATCCCGATGGTTGCAGTTGATCTCCTTCGAAAGATCCGCTTCCTCCTCGTGTTGCTGTGCCCAACATTCCTACTTTCAAACATCGATCAAGGGTAGGTGAAAAGGGATTTTGGAAGTTGAGAGGAATTAGCTGGGAAGCGAAGCAATGGGAAGATTAGATTGAATTGAGAGAAGGTTTTCCACTAATTTTTGTTTCGGTGGGGGAGAATGATGAAGATGAACAACGACGATGTTGCCGTTCTAGAAGGGAGAACGACTGTGGTGCGCAGGGGAGAAGGTGAGACGGATCGAAGCCATTTCAGCCTTCAGGAATGGTGGCGGAGTAGAGGGGGAGGGTCACCGGTGAAGTTAGATCTACAGAGGCGAGGGGAGATCGGAGGAGGGGGTTTAGCTTAGGGGTTTTATTTTTATTTTCAAGTTTTTAAGAACTAAAAAAATATTGAAAAAAAATAATTGAAATAAAAATGACATGGAAGCTACCTCACTGCAACTTCATCATTGGATGCTCAGTCATTGACGGAATAAATGTTTGACCGTTAATATTAACAGTCAACACAAGTATTGTGTTAAATTTGTCTAATAATTTCAAAAGTAGGGCATAAATATCTTATTTGAAAAATGGGGCCAGAACTGTCATTTACACTTAACTTCGAGCCAAACTAAGATATTAACCCTTATCAAATTTCATAACTCACCTCTTCCGACCAACTGGCGGACTCACACTAGTTTCTTTTAATAAGTGGATCGCTTAGGTTTTAAGCGACTGATCACTTTAGCTTCCAGCGATGCAATTTACCGCTAGGCCCAGCCGTGATCTAGCCCAAATTTATGTACGTTGAGTTTTTTTTTTCTTTTCAAACAATTTGGGGAAAATTCCCATTATTACTTTACTTATTATTATAGTCTATCGTCAAAAGTGAGCTACCAAACCAGACGTAGATGGATGGGCCTGACCTTGTCGAAAAATCCGCGCTATTATTATTTTATATAACCTAAACCCACAGCCGGAGTGCATTCCTTAAACTGCAACACGGCGGCCGTCCACTCTCCCTGTCCTACCCGGAAGATGAATGAGCAAAGCCAAAGAGGGACGAAACAATCGCGGAGCTGGAAAATGATCACCAACCGTCGATCTCATGTCCTTCGACGGTAGCTTCTTCAAACCTCAGCAGTTTGAGCCTTCTTCCCCGTATCAACCCCTTCCTTCAGAAAGGCAGAAATTTGAGGCAGAGACGAGATAGAAGACAGACTCCGACCCTCTGCAACTCCAATTCACGGAGAACGACTAAGCTGAGAGAGATAGACAAGTAAATTGATTCTCCATATCGGTGAGAAATCCTTTGTCTGCAGATTGATTTGGCCTGATTTCGTGTCTCCACCCCTCTGCCGAGATCTACTAATTGCTGCCTGCTCCGTTATTCTGCAATTCGTGATTTCGGCCCCCCAATTGCTTACGAAAATGCCTCGTTTAAGCCCCGAGGACGTAGGGGTGATTGAGTTGTTCGAGTTTGCGAAGAAAGCTGGCGATGCCGCCGTCGGCGACGACATTTCCTCCAACGGTCCGGAGGTCGGTCGATGTGTCGATGCCCTCAAACAGCTCGGTAATTACCCAATTACTTACGAGATTCTCGTCTCTTCTCAGGTCCGTACTCTCTGCTTTCTCCTTCCCCTTAGAGTTTAACTTCTTTGTTCAATTTGTTGTTTCCCATTTCTGGATGGCTTTTGTAAATTTCATACACCAAACCAAATTCATGGTGTCCTTGTTTGTTTGTTAATCAACTTCTGTTCTTGGGTTTTCCTCAACTCTGTTGGATATGCGATAAGGGTAAGATTGGTTAGACTTTGTTCATAATCTTAAAACTGTCAATTTCTTCACTGTCAATCCTAAGGACGTTTCAGATGCCCTTTTCTTTTCTTCCAAACAGGTTGTTTATCCTTTTATGTTCATTTCCAGGAATTATATGTCTCATAATAGAATGCTTCCAATTTTACCATCTACAAGCTAGTGTACGGTATCAATCTAGTTCATACCATAAATTGCAGCTTTTTCTGGGACTGGTAGCACCTCTCAGTTTCACACAACCCGTCGAAAAGAATGTTCTTTCGCTTTAGCTTTCTTGTGACTGGATACTTTGCTTATGTAGGGAGCTAGGGTCTCCCGGCTTAAGCATGACGAGTCTAGTTGTCTGTATCCAATCAGAGTTAAGACTTGTACATAGCTCTGAATGATGACGCAGTTGCTCACCTCTTTGGTTGAGATGCTACTTCTGCTTTGAAGAAAGCAACGTCATGAACTTTCTTATGCTCTCTGCTCCTCTTCCCTTCCTCCCCAGTCCCCTCTCTCCTAATAGCTTTAGTGCTTTTATTCTCTTTGGCTGTTTGCTTTTTGACGACTCTTCCCTGACCACCTCATACCTTCATGCCTCCTTTCTCTGCTGACTACCCATGTTGAAGTTGCTCTAGAAATGAGTGGTAATGCCTTTTGATTGTACTTGTTTCCAACTACCACCTTAATGTGTTTTAGGTTGGGAAACGGCTGCGAGCTCTAACCAAGCATCCAGTAGATCAGGTCCAAACCGTGGCCAGTGACTTGCTTGAGAGTTGGAAACAGTTGGTTGTGAATGAGACTACTAAAAGGAAACAAGCTGAAAAATCTCCAACTGCAAGCGCTGTAAAAGTAGAAAAAACATCAACCAATGGAGCAGTGAAAGTAGAGAAAGCAAAGTCATCCTCCAATGGAGCAATCAAAGTCGAGAACAGGGCTGGACCAGACATTGTTAAAGTCGAGAAGACAATAGTGGAGGAGATAAAATCTCACCATGCAAATAAACCGCCACGGCCAGCAGCTATTGCTCCTCCAAAGCTCAGTTCTCTTGTAAGATGCAATGATCCCATGAGGGACAAAGTCCGCGAACTTCTTGCCGAAGCCCTAGCAAAGGTCGTTGGGGAGGTTGATGATGATGATGATATTACGCGGGAAGTAGGTGCACGAGATCCCATCCGAGTTGCTGTCTCAGTGGAATCTGCAATGTTTGACAAGTTGGGGAAGTCGAATGGGGGCCAGAAGTTGAAGTACAGATCCATCATGTTCAACATCAAGGATCCTAAAAACCCAGATTTGAGGAGGAAAGTGCTGCTGGGTCAAATTAACCCGGAGAGGCTCATGACAATGACCCCTGAAGAAATGGCGAGTGAAGAGAGGCAGATGGAGAATAAGCAGATGAGAGACAAAGCTCTGTTCGAGTGTGAGCGTGGTGGCCCGCCACAGGCCACGACCGATCAGTTCAGGTGCGGGCGGTGTCGTCAAAAGAAGTGTACTTACTACCAGATGCAGACTAGGAGCGCTGATGAGCCCATGACTACGTACGTAACATGTGTAAACTGCAGCAACCGCTGGAAGTTCTGTTAGAATCTTCATCTGTTTTATGGGGATTGTTTGCCTTTGCTTCTCTCTGCAACTTCTTTTTGAAGAGAGCCTCGGTTGGTAAAATTGCAGAGCAGAGGTAGGCAGCGTTGTTAATTAATTTGTTATTTTGGGTCTTGGGATATTTAGATTAGAATCTGTTTCATTGACATCACAGTAGTAATTTACGGTTATTTGTCGAGTGGATTAGATGCTAGGTCCATTGTCTCTGTGTTGTAAGCTGTACCGGGAATAACCGATGATTGTGAGAGCAGACCACTGTAACGAGGCAATTCTCCGAGCGAGGATAGATTGCATAGACAAGGAGCAGCATTGTCTTGTTGCCATTGAAATGATGATACTAATAATGATATCGGAGCAACATGGCGCTGGTGATGTGTACTTCTGATGGTGTACTTAAGAGGTCTTAGAGGCTGAAGGCGCTGGAGAAACATCAAATTCTGGATATCTTTGTTGTTTGGATTGCATTTTAGGACTGGATGGCTGTCAACATATTGAAATTCCTCCCTACTGGTAGTAGTTTTCTTAGATTGTTGACGGCACAATAATTATCAGCAAGGATGAATTTAAAACTCGCATTTATGAGAGAACGTGTTTCTTTCAAATTTGAAATTCTAGGCAATTAAAGATTCGAGCTTGAACACTCCAAATTCAACATTGAGACGAAGACACAGGCCAATAAACCCAGTGCGCAAGAAGCGCGGCTTGATCGAATGGAATAACATTGAGGAATAGTTACACTAATTAATTAGACAGCAGCAACCAGTTGTTGTTGGGTTGGGGTTGAAATGGAATTGGAGCTTGTGCTGGAGCAGCATGGACTGTCATTCCCACGCTGCTGCAATCCGCTGCTTCCTTGTTCCTCTTCCACCATCTTCTTTTCGTCATATCTTCGACTTAGCTTCCTCTCTTGCTCCTTGTCTCTAAGCGACCGAAGCGGCGAAATCGTCTGTTTTGTAAATCGTAATTATTAACCGACCAATATCCTGAAATTCATCAATTATCAGAAGAAAAAAAAGAGCAAGAAAGTAGAGCGGGGATTAGTTAACCATGGAGTAAGTGTGAAGCTCCTTCAATCGAAAGAGTCGATCCACCTCCATCTCCATCGTCATCTGCGCTTCTGCCCTCGCTTCCATTTCCTTCATCTGCAAATCCAGCACCCTATCTCTCTCCTTGAGCATCTTCTCCGTCTTCTCTCTGTCCGACCTCAGCCGCTCCATTCTCTTCCGCATCACGCTCAGCTCCTCCGCCAGGGATGAGTCGATGGGCGGGATGGATGGCTGCTGGATGAGCTTTTTACTCGCTGGAGGGGTGTCATAAACCAGACCCAGATTCTGGTTCTCCTTACCCCCGCCGCTAGAAACACCGAAGTTGACCTTCCTCAAATCTGGCAACAATGGGAGTGGCTTAGTGGAGATCTGGACCGGCTCCGAGTTCTTGGGTTGCAGAGGCTTCCGGCCACTGTTTAGCCTTGACTTCTGGTCTCCGGTGACTGGAGACTGGAGGAATTGCATTTTTCTCTGGACTTGGGTGATACCGGAGAATGGAAATGTGGAAAGCAAATGGGATTGGGAAGGAGGGAAAATAATGGGGGCTGGGAGAAGTTTGAATTCGAATGGGAACAGGCGCTAACGGCTACACTTACTTTATTTCATACTTTATATACCACAAGGGGAAGGGAAATTAATCAAACAGTGACGTAAGGGCTCATAGTACAAAACAAAACAAAGTTTATTTATTTATTTGCTCAAGAAAATAGTACATAAGGTTGACCTAGCCGTCGGAACCATGGCGATAGCATCAAGTAGTGTTCTTTCGGGCCTTTTTTTTCTTCTTTCCCGCTAATTCTCTTGATTGCAACTGAATTTTGATCTTATGTGCAAATTAGCTAGGGTTCCTCAGGCGTATGGAACAATATCTGCAGCAACAGACAATGCTTACAAGATTCTCAACCTGATACAAAGCCAAACAATGTTCATAGTCATAGATAGTCCATCGGCAGCTCCCAGTCGTCCTCTCTCATCTCCTGTTGGAATCTCTTGCTCTTTGATCTTTTCCTTGCCCTTGCCCTCCTCCCACTGCCAGCAGGGATTTTCAAACCATTTTCATCATCCGGAAATTCTCCCACTTCCTCTGCATAATCATCCACAGGCCGAGCGTCCCACAATCCCTGCCCGAGGTTTGCAGACACAACATTTAGATGTAACCAAGAACAACTAACCAACAGCGAGAGATGATCACCTTTGTTAGCCTTTGAATTCGGGATGCTGCAGCTTCGTCGACAATAATTGTGTCGGGGAATACTTAAACTACATCCTCGGCAAGCAAAGTATATGTACTCACCTGAAGTTACAAAATGGAAACACCGTTTGCGCCTGCCTGAGATCATTTTGTTGTATGCTTGCATTTTAGCACAAGCTATTGAAGAAGGAAAAAAACCCCTTTCACATCCAGCTATGTCCCTAATTTCTAAATCAGGCAAAAAGCGGGTGGTTTTATGGCGTGTACTTGAGAGAAGTGAAAAGATCAATGAGACCAACCAAACTAGACGGAATGATGGAGATCCCAAATGAATCGAGCTCGAGTGACTCCACGGTGCCAGAATTGATGTTGAAAGAGAATCCCCGTACCTAGGCGAGGGGTAAAAGAAATGTCACTTACAGGACAATGCTGAATCGACGACAAAAAAAATAGCAGGAGGATGATGGTTCTTTATGAAATCACCTTCCCGATGTTTCGCTGACTAGGTGTCACAACTTGATATCCGACCTAAGAAAAGCACCAACGTTTATCCATGTAAGATCTTGTAAGCAAATCATGGAATTTATCAGTAAACGAGCAAGGGAACAGGTTTGAGGAACAAAATTAACGTTTTCCAACATCTGCAAACGTACATCATCATACCAGTGCAAACAGAATTTGGCTCTGGCAAGCAAAAATACATACCAAGGTTTCAAGGCCAAGTATAGTGAACTCGTTCTCCAATATATTTACGTCCTCCACCAGCACAACATCACCAACCTGTCAAGACTTGCACTTTAATCCCAATTTGTTTTGGACCAGCAATTTGATATTTCATACACTACCATCCATATAAAAGAAAACCAGATGCTTAGGGTTTGTTTGACTAACATCTGATTCTACTTATCCAGTTCCATTGACTATGCCAGAACATAGAAAGGGCCTAGGAAAGAAGCTTCACCTGGCAAATGTCTTGGAGAAGAAACCTTTCTGATTCTCCAGAGAGCAAATTTGGTCGGACTTCCACAACCACGACCACCCACTGCACAAATTTGCAGGATATTAACAAGCTAACCGAACATAACGGGAATTAAGAGATATCAGAATTGGAGACTTGCGTTGGTAGTGTCCACCCAGAGCTGGGATATGAACCCTAAGCTAAGAGCAGCAGTGATGCTGATCACTTGCTTGGCCAGCACACTCGATCTCTTTAACACGTGCCGTCGTTGTCCCAATTTCACTCTTCCACCAATCATCCGCCTCTCAGTCTCGCTTCCATCATCCCCAGCTCCAATAATTTCTTCGCCTTCTTCCCAATTCTGCTGGCTCCTTCCTCCCTCGCTCTTGAGTTCAACTAACTCCAAATTTGCTTCATCGCCTTGTCCCGTCGAATCTTGGTCAAGTATGGACTGAAACTCCAATCCTTGCTTCCCCTTCTGCTTAAACCCTAATTCGTCATAGAAGTCGCCGTCTTGGGAATCCCATTCCCTACGGCGCGTTCTGGCCCTTGTGAGTATTGAGTTGAACTGGGCATTGGAAGGGGGGGGAAGTGGAGACGCTCGCCCAGAAGAAGACGCATTTAACCCAAAGTTTCGAACTTTGGAGATGGAGAAGGGCAGAGGGGAGAAGGGAATGCAGTCACGCATCAGGAAAGATCGGATGGTGTGTGGCTGGTTTCAGCGACGTTGTTGTGCGTTTCCATTCTCTGTTTAAGTGCGACTACAACATTAGGGATAACTTCAGAGCATACATGGAAGGGGAGTTAATGGCTGGAAATGACAAGTTTAAAGTTTTATACATTTTAGAGAATAACAAAATGAGCATTCCTTCATCTTTATTTAAAAATTCGTTAATTCAGTCCACTCAAAATCTTTGTAACACCATAGTCCGATCCATCACTATTTTTACAAAAATACCTGTAGTAAGCCGTTAACTAGGGGTGGGCATTGGGTGGGTCGGGTGGGTTTTGACCATAAAATGCATCATCCCGCGCTTAAACGGATTGATAATTTTTAACCCACTACCCACCCACATTTACTCTCGGGTTGGGTCGGGCGGATGGTGGATGATTTGAGTGGGTTTGTGGGTTCACCCACATCACAATATATATAATATAAAAGAGTCAACTTGACATGATAATAGGCGAAGAGAGTTATCTGGGGAAACAAAGAAGATGAAACAGGGCGAAAAATATCGAATTAGTTCTTAAAATGGATAGAAATTCAAATTCTATTATGAAAGAATTTTCTACAGATTGAGATGATTATCAAGTGCAAGGAACTAAGAAAAATAATTCCACAAAGAAAAGAGCAGTGATCTAGGCACAAGAATTAGAGGAAAAAATAAAGGGAAGAAGATGGGATCGCTATTTGGAAGGTTGGCTTTGAGGTTCAAACTCCAGGAGCAGTCCTAGTTTATGTCTAACGTCTCCACTCTCCCCTCTCTAGCGCCGACGACTTTAATCTTTTTGCTCTTGGGTTGAGCGGGTCACCCGCGCACCCACCCACAACCCACCCACCACCCGGCGGATGGGTCCCACCGCAACCCGTCACCCACCCATAGACCCACCCACTTAACGAAATTCGGGTCAAATGCGGGTGGGTCGGCCCAAACCCGCGGATGATCCGCCTGCATGCCCAGCCCTACCGTTAACCATAATCAACGGAAAAAAGTGGAAATTTTTCTTAAATGCTTTTATTAAATTCTTTGAATTCTTTGAAATTCAAATCACAATTTATTGAAACTTGCATAAGCGGAAATCATAAATATTCTTAAGAAATGTGCTTCAAGTTGCAAATCCAATAGATATACCAGAACTAAATTTCTCATACCATAAGTCCTCCAGAATGCTTAAATAAAACATCACCAATCATGCAAGGTATAGTAAAACCTCATGAATCGTTCTTCTTCTTTGAAAGCTTGTTCTGAAGTGCCACTAAGCACATTTTGTTGAATCCAACAGTCGAAATCTCCCCTAGTTTCTCCTTCTAGGTCAAAAAATTCTTCAAGGGCCTTGCATATTTAGGAATCTGAGTCACAACATCCAAGAACGGGATATCGATCCGAATTGTTTCAAAAGAGTTAGGAACTCCGCAAATTCATTGGATGGATAAGAATTTGTTTCCTCAACCTTGAAGGATAAGATGCAGACAAAATCTTGTTCCGCGGTCGAGCCTCGTCTCCAATCATTAGAGCTTCTATCCTTGGTGGATCGACGTTAACGGTTTCTCTGGCTTTTTCTTGTGAGGGAGAAGTGGTCTCCTTAACTCCTTCGGTTTCCTTTCCCGCCACTAGCTGCGTTATTTGAGAGATTTTCTCTTGTAAGTCTTAAAGTCCTACTTCATTCCTTTCTTATTATTTTTTTCAACTCATGGAGATTTGTCAAAACAGTCTCCGTAAGTTCTTCCACCGCCTTCGTTCAGTCATAACTCTTCCTTTGCAGCTTCCTGGAGTTGTACCATGCACACGTCTAGGTCGTCTGTATGTTCTAGAACTGTCTCAATATTGTCGCTTCAGGTGGGTGATTCTGGCCATAAGAGTGGCATAGGTACGACAAATTCTGCTTCGATCAATGATCTCTCCACATTAGATTGTATTAGTGGAGGTGGAGTGACTTCGACTTGTCTCTGGCCGGGCAGTGAATGACACTTGTGACCCCCCATTATTGTTGGTGACTGCTTAGTTTCGTCATCCACTGGCGGGTTAGGTGAAAGCAAGGTAAAATTTAAATCCTCGTGATCTTTTTCCTCTTGAAATTCCTTCCAATCATGTTTATTTTCTTCCATGTCCTGCAAGAGGTTCAAAATATCCTCTGGTTCCTTGTTCTTCAAATTCCCCCAAGCTGTCATCAAGATGTGATTCTTCTCTTCGCTTTTGATTCACTTAAAGAAAATCTCAACCTTTCTCCAATACTCGACACCATGGTGGGGACATTTGGAGAGCAGGACATTGAATCTCTCCCATGCTAGTGTGATGTCGCACTCTTGTCCTATTAGGGCTGGGTATCGTATTGGAGACTATGTGTCCTTAATTCCTAGACAAGAGTAGGATCCCATGGTTCTAGGCCTTGGTGGAACTTTAGGTTGTTGTTGTTGATCCGCCATTGGTGGAGATTGATGTCTTACAACTCTTCTTAGATTTCGAAGGGTTCTCTCAATTTCTGTATCAAGAGGTACTATCTCCAAAGAGTCCCTTCTTTGCATACAAAAGTGCTACAAGACACAAACTCGACAACCCGTGATGCACAAAGTTACATAAAAACACAAAACGATAAAAACTACGAAAATAACAAAAACAAAACAATAAATAAAGGTTAAACTAAAAACTCGACGATTTTCTACTAGTTACCGAGGTTCCTCGGCAACGGCGCCAAAAAGCTAAACTAATTCATTCTGTGCAAGTCATTGTCAATAGTTAGCACGTTTCATAACTACCTCATCCTAGGCCAAGTTTAACCTTGAGTGGCATTTTCATATAGTGGCAATCAAGGTCGTATTCACTCGGGTCCTGGTACCCTAGTCTACTTCTCATGTTGTTGTTATCCAGCTGATCGGTTTAAGGGTTTGTGATGGAGGATTCAAGAGAAATAACTAATAGAGAGAATAAATAAGGATAACAGCAGGTACTTTGGGGAACTATCCATCACCCTAGCCTAGATCTACTATGCAATGTATAAATAAGTTGGGTTTAACGAATGTGGTGAGTGAGCTCTTTTCCTTGGGCTTTCGTGGTTATCCACACGCCTCCGAGTACGCCTCCCCTAAACCCATGTCAGTCACCTCGATCTAGGCTATCGTATATGGGGCGTTAAGAACATAGCTCAGTTCAATGGGTACTACCCACCATCCACACCGAGGTTTCATCCTGGGTCTATCTAGGAATGCATTCCTATGGCAAGGGTACGGTCGCCTCGTCCACCATAAGATCCTATTCATCCATCTAACCTAATTTGCTTGATGGCGCATACCCGCCCGTCTAACCCTAAGACTCCATACCCAGCGTTGAAGCTCAAGTAGGCTAGTAAAGAAAATTAGGGCGACTTACCCAAACATAATTAAAGCTAGAGAAGCAATGAAATTAACTATTCAAAATTCTAAAATATTCACATTACATAATAGCCCTAAAACTAGAGTTTGGGGTTTAGAACCCCTAGTACGTTAGAAGACTACTCCATAAAGGAGGGTAGAAGATACATAGAAGAAATTCGGGAAGAGTTGATGTTGAGGAAGATGTCTCCTCTCTTCTAGCTCACCCTCCTTCTTCTCCTTTTCTCCTTCCTTTAGCTTCTCTCTCTTCTCTCTCTCACTCTAACAAGAAATTTCTCTCTCAAAATCAGCTCTCCTAAATGGGGAAAGAGGGTCTTGTATTTATAGCCTTCAGAGGACGGACAAGTTCGCGGCAAGGTAGTGTGAAGATCACGGTCGCGATCTGCCGCCGGCGTCGTTTTGTCCTTCAAGCGAGAAGCGGTCGCGATCCATGAGTTGTGGGGAAACTCTTTGTTTCTCCTCAGCTGCCTTCTTCGGGGAGTTCGCGCCCGAAGCCTCCAGATTCGTGGCAGCGATCTTGGGCTCTAAGGTCGCTATCTTCATCTTGAGTTAGCAGTCAATGTTCTCTGTCGTGATCTCCATCTCCAGGCGGTGATCATCAGCCTTCTGCCCAATTTTTTACATTTGTGCCCCTTTTCGTACCTAATTCGCATGTATTATCTAAATCACTCTAAAATCACATCATAATATAATAAGAGCGGAATAGGGATGCATTTGACGCTATTCTAACGATTATGCACATGAATTAGCACGAAACAAACCTAGACATGAAGGGTAAGTAACACCAATTTGGGTGTTATCAACACCGCTCTTTCTTTATTTATATTTGGCTGAGTCTTCTTCCTATGGGCTTGTCTTGAAATAATATAACAATTTTTAGTTGACTTCACCGTCATTGGACCACACGAAAGCTCTTTAATCCTATCTTTATAGCTCATTTGGTCCTCCAGAGTTCTTCACTCCTTGATCCAATCATTCTTAGGCTGCTTTATACCTTCAAATCCATAAAAAAAAATACCAAGAAGGCTTAAAATACAAGAACATTGCCCAGGTCCATTAAAAGCTCATTGACCAAATATTTGTGATTTAGACAAGAAATACCATTGTTAGAATTCAACTTATCACCTCTGATGTTTCAAGTGTTTTACAGTTTTGTATGAACATTTTCTTACTTTCTGCATTTGTTCTAAAAGACATTGAAGTTATTTGCAATAATTTCTTATGGAGTGCGGGGGGGGCTCAGATACTCGTACTAAAGCTCTTGCTGCATGGAAATATATATATGCTAAAGACTGAAGGAGGTTTGGGGATAAGAGATTTTCGAACTTTGAATAAAGCATGTGTTGTGAGGCATCTGTGGAATATACTTGCAAGGAGTGGATCTCTTTTGATTGCCTGGGTGAAAATGTGCATGCTCTAAATCTAGTCTATCTGGAATGTTGTTCCTACTGCTGTTGGGTCTCGAGTCTGGAAAGACATTACATTACAATCAGATTGTGCATCAACTGATAGATTCTCTATTATGCAAGTTTAGCTTGCTATTAGAGGTCAACAGTCTTTAGTAGACTCGTCATATCTTGTTTGGGTCAAATACAGCATACCAAAATATAGTATGCTCCTTTGGATCATTGTACAAAATAGGATCACTACTATAGACAAGCTTGCTATTAGGGTAAAACAGGGTTATCAGTCTTGTGTGTTGTGCCCTGGTGGACAAGAGCGCATTGACCATCTATTTATTGATTGTTCATATACCAGGTATGTGCTCCCCCATTCTCTCTCTAGTGTGGATCTTCCAGTTGGCTTGGATTGGTCATCAATGATGCAGAGGCCTGTTAGATTATGGAATGGTACAACCGTACAAGTGACAGGTTAAAGCTTCAGAAGCTGATATGGAGTGTAGCCTTTAACCGTGTTTGGAAGGAGTATTGTGGCCGACTCTATGTAATGGCCCTCTTCGTACCGCACCACATCTGATATGACTTATTCGATCTACATTAGAATGTTTGGTTGTTTACCGTATAGAGCTCAAAGTTGTAATTGAGTGGTTTTACTCTTAGTTTTGAGTAGTATTTACAATATACATGGTCTATTGCAAAGAGAAACAATACACTTGAGAGGTCCTCAAATATAAGGCACCTGAAGCTTAATGAGATTTTTTTATTGTGCATAAAAAAATCTTACCCCCTTCACCTATTTTGAAAACCCACAATTGCGGGATTTCCAAATTCTACATGAATAAAAACCTTGATTTTTAGAGCAATTATCAAATGTGTGATTTTGTATTTATCTCATGTTACGCGGGATTGCATCCAAATTCCTCGTACAAACGAGGCCAAAAGCTTATAACCGGTAGGTGATATTTTGTTGGCCTCTCTCTCATATATGGGCGTCACACTTCCCACCCCACTCAACCCCAATGTGATCTCACTCCCTGAACACTAGGAATGGCAATCAAACTCATGACCGCAAGTATTTGACCGCCCCGGCCCAATTAATGCTGGGAATCCCCACATTGACTGTATATGGGGTGGGTATGGGTAAAATCCATAAAAACTTTGATGGGTATGTGACGAGTATGGGTTTAGCCTCCCATCCCCACCCCATACTCTTACCCATATCGGCGCCACCAAGAGCATTTCTTCACATATATAAAATATGTTGATCAAATCGTAAACTATCAATGATAGTGAAGGTCACTCAAGAAAATAAATAGTAGAAATGCAATTGAGTAACCACCCAAATCATAATCTTATTCCTTTCCCTCAATTCTCCCTTCAGACTTTCACTTTTTCCCCCTTGTTAACAAGATATGATAGTTAATTATTACTTAGTAGATGTATCAAAGTTAGAGAATAATGATTTGGAAATTATTGTACTTTATCTTATGAATTAGTGAATTTTTAGGATCATATTATTTGAATCGTATTAAGAATGATTGTATCTTTGTTGATTTCATGATATAGAAGGTCCGTACAATGTTATAAATATAATTGAAAATATACATGTAAAGTTTTAAGTATAATAATATTGGATGTACGGGAGGGTATTTACCCACGAGTATCTAAAAACCACGGGGATGGGGATGGGTTTACAAAATTTTCTCCGCACCACATGAATAAGGCAAATCTACAAGTATGAATTTGAAGGCTGTCTGTTCTTTCTTTACGACGAGTAGGATGCTACGAAGTTTTAATCACACCTGGCTAACCTTGATCCCAAAAGTGGATCAGGTAGATAATATGATTATATGAGGCAGCTATGCGCTATCAGTTTATGCCAGTTTGTGTACAAGGTTATCACTAAAATCATGGCTGGTAGATTGGCCTGCATCTTACCCCAGGTTGTTTCTGAGGGGCAAAATGCCTTCATCCGTGAGAGACAGATTGTTGATAATATCCTAATTGGACACGAGTTAATGCATTATCTGAAGATCAAAACTCGAGGGAAGAAAGGGTACATGGCTCTAAAGGTTGACATGGAAAAGGTCTATGATAGAGTCGAATGGCCGTTTCTTCTCGCGGTGTTGGAAAAAATGGGATTTAACTCGGTCTGGTGTGGGTGGGTCCGGGAGTGCTTCTGTTCAGCGTCGTTTTCAGTCCTTATGAACGGGGCACCCTCTGGGTTCTTTTCCCATACTAGGGGGTTGCGCCAAGGGGATCCTCTATCCCCGCTACTCTTTGTCCTGTGTACGGAAGGGTTTGCGGCTCTCCTCCGCAAGGCTATTTTGGAGAAGAAATTGCAGGATATCTCATTTATATTTCGCTGATGATTCTTACCTGTTTCTTAGGGGCTCCCTTTAGGAATGTGAGAATCTGATCGAAGTGCTTAATGAGTATGAGGAATTGAGTGGGCAGAAGGTCAATCTGGCGAAGTCGGCTGTCTGCTTCAGTAAGAATATATCTCTTCCCGACCAAGATTTTCTTGCTGAAATTCTTGGGGTTGGTGCTGTGGGAGTTCAAGATAAGTATCTTAGTCTCCCTACGTTGGTAGCTCGGTCTAAGATGGCTAAGTTTTGCTACCTGGAAGAGAAACTACTGGAGCGTTTGCAGGGCTGGAAGCGGCGGACCTTGTCTTGGGCGGCCAAAGAGAGGCTGATCAAATCGGTTGCTTTGGCTCTCCCGTTACATGTTATGTCTTGTTTCAAGCTGTCGTTGTCCCTTTATCACCTCCTTGACAGGCATGTGGCTAGGTTTTGGTGGGGAGTAGAGGATGGTCGAACTAGGATTCAGTGGATCTCCTGGCGAAACCTGTGCAGGAGTAAGCACAAGGGGGATGGGTTTTTGTCGGTTCGAGCATTTTAATCAGGCTCTTTTGGCCAAGATTGGGTGGCGAATTCTTAACAAGCCTCAATCCCTCCTGGCCCAGGTCTACAAAGGGAAATATTTTCCGCGGGGTCCTTCCTCACAGCTTCGGCTCGGTCCCGTCCATCTTGGGGGTGCTCCCTCGGTGCCCGGTTTGCTGGGCTGAGTCGGAGACGATGAAACACTTATTTCTGGATTGTCCCGTGGCGCTTGCGATTTGGGATCAGGCTGGTTTAGAGCACCTTGGCCAAGGCTTGTCCCGTCATATGTTCCCTCTCTTTCTGAAGAAGTTGTTGTCTCTCCTGCATCAGCCGCTGCAGTTCATGGCAGTGGTTGCTGTCTTGTTGCGGATATGAAAATCCAAGAATTGGGTTGTCTTTGAAGGCAAGCAGTTCGGGATTGCTGCTCTAATGAGACAATACAACCAACAAATGGATGAGTGGGCTCGTCTCCCGGTTGACTCATCTCCTTCGCCAGTAGATATCCAGCCTGTTCCGGTGCCTCCGGATAGGGTGAATGTGCCAATGTGTATGTGGGATGGGGCAGTCCGGAAAGGGTCTCATTCTGCGGGTGGGATGGTTGTCCTCACACCTGAGAGGGCGGTCCTTCGGGCTAGAGGCGTCCAGTTTCCACTGATTGATGACCCGATGGTGGTGGAGCGTCTTGTCCTCCGCGAGGCTATCACCTGGTGTTTGGAGTAGAGATTTTCCGAGATGGTGTTTGAAGGCGATGCTAAGGTGCTTATTGATAAGATTAACAAGGAAGATGTTGGGGATAACCAGGTGGGGTCTGTGCTGCAAGAAGTTGTCCAGATATTCGCTCTTCATGTGGGCTTCAGTGTGCGATTTGTAGGTCGGAATAGCAATATGGTAGCTCATTCAATAGCTAGACAAGCCCTTTCTTTGTACCTGACTGTGTGTCGCTTATTTGATTTTCAGACCTGGCTGAATTCCAGGTTGTAACGATCTTTGTTTAATTCAATATATGATTATCTTTTGTCAAAAAAATTTTTTTTAAATATTTGAAAATGGAAATGAGAATAGTTTAGCCAAACACACTCCATTGTCATGAGTCGCCAATAAGTGTATGATCCCTTCTTGCTTCCCAAGCTCTGATACACGTGATTGATTACAAACACAGCTGGAATCGAGATTGTTGGATCGCAATCGAGAGATCGAAAGAAGACAAGCAAGCTTTATTATTGCACATGAATGAATCTTCTGTCATTAGTTAAATTGATGGATTGTCATCAATATGAAAATACATGCATTGTTTGTACAAAAAATTCAAAAAAAACAATGCATTGTGAACAATACATGCCTTGTAACTATCTCCACCAAACAATCTCCAAAGCCAAACGACTACGTGCATTGTAACTATCCCACCAAACAATCACCAAAACCAAACAACCCCTAGAGAAAAAAATCCCAATTCATTGCCATATAAACTAGATAGAGGCGTGGATTCGACACCCATGACCCTAATTAAGAAGAATACAAACCTGCCACACCACCAACAAACGAAACAAGCAGTGTTTGGCTGTAGCAGACCAGATAATATTCATAAGATCCACCTCGTTGGGGATTATCGTATTTATAAGACCATATTCTGTGATTCCCCCAATCCAACAAAATGCAAAAAACGCCCATGTAGTAAAACTGTTATGGAGTTCATAAAAACCCGAACTCCCTTCAAATCTCAAAGAGCCCTAACCAAAAACATATATGACAAACCCAAAAAAATAAGCAGGACAAGCTGCTGCATCCCACCACAAACGTAACCACAATGTTTCAAATCCTGAAGACATAATTGATAACTTTCCTTCTTCTGTGTTTCTGTTTCTTGTGGTCTCTCATCAACCACTTCAGTCCTGTCATCCCATAGCATACTTCTGGGTCCAGCTGCGTGCAGTTGCCTCGTACTTGGCACGGTCTGTCTTGTACATGTGGGCAATCTCTGGCACCAAAGGGTCATCTGGATTGGGATCCGTCAACAAGGAGCAGATCGAGAGCAGCACCTGAATCCAAACATTCATACAAAAGAGTTCAGAGACACGGAAAATTATATCCATAGTTAACTAATCCTGAAAGCTAAACCCCAAAACATCAACAAAACAAGTTTAGAGATTCAGAAAACGAGATACAGACTACAGAGTAATCCCAATCCTAAAATCAAACCCCTCTTATGTGTAGAGAACAACTTAATCACAACAACTCGAGTTGTCGGGACAAAACCAAAGATGAATCATACCCTCAATTGAAAGTCAACACAGGGTTGAAATTTCTACAAGCCTACCATATTCATGCTTAAATCAGCCGTCGACAATCGGGCTACCTGGATTTGAACACTAGACCTCTCGGTCAATACCGTTCTGATACCATGTCAAGAGCCAAATCATCTCAATAACTATTTTGGCCGAGGTCAAAGATGAATCTCTCATGATTCTCTTGCATTATGTTGACAGGCTTTTGTATGTTCGTACCATTGAAGTGGCAGTTTTCAGAAATAGCATCCTCAATAGAAGAAGAAAGAACTAGAGCATGAATCAGGGTTGTTTAAAGACAATGAACTGATATATATCCTAAATAACCAAGGAAAAAATAGGTGCTAATCTTTTGGCGAAAGCAATGCAAATGCTACCATATACAAGTACCTCTCTTGCGGCTGTATGAGCTTCATGCAAGTTTCCTATACCATTAACCCTGCCTTAAGATATGGAGTAGTTTCAAAACCATGAAATTACACCCCCAATCATGAGAAATTGAGAAGTAATATAAAACCCCTTAACCTTATTAGCAAGAGTAATAGATAATGTCAAACCTTTGAAATGGTAAGAGCAGGGCTCCATTGCTCTTTGAGGATATCTAGGCAGATGCTCCCATTGCTGTTGATATTAGGGTGGAAGACCTTGGTCCTGAATGCTACCTACAAACCAAAATTGAACATCAAACCAGAATAGAAGCGTTAAAAAGTTTATTAAGATAAACATCACAGATCAAAATCGAATGCAGAAGTTTGAATGCAGTAAATCACCTTAGGGGGCTTGAAAGGATAATCTGGGGGGAAATGGATGGTAACCAGGAAAACACCTCCAGAATAGGGGCTTTCAGAGGGTCCCATAATCGTTGCCTGCCAATGGAACATATCCTCCGCCACAGGACCTGATCCCAAAACCAAAACCATACAGCTTTCAATCGAAGGGCAGGCGCAAAATTCCAATTTGGAGCTCCAAATCAACAACACAAGCTACCAATCAGCGGAAGGTAATAGATAACAGCCCAAATCTCACGATGGAGGTTGGAAAAACAGAAGGGGACATCGCCTGACCTGCGCTACAGGAACTGGGTGGATCCTTCTGCAAATCCTTGAGTTCCTTCAAGATGCGCTTGGACGCCATGATTGATTGATTGATTGAGAAACCGAAGACCAAACGAGTTGTTGATTTTAACGGACCTGCGAAGGTAGGGAAATCGAGTGAGTCGACATTACCAAGGAAAATATTAAAGAAAATGAGGGAGAAAAGAGCGGCGGGGGAGCTCGACCGACCAGAGAAACCAGACAGAAAGAGGGGAAATCGCGAACGGGGAGGTCGGAGGGAAATAGTGAAATAGAGAATTGGATGCAGATCCAGAGCCGCCCCCGAGAAACCGCTGATTCCCTGCTTTGCTCTCCTGATTTTCAGCAACCCTTTGTTTAGGTTTTCTGCTCACGAATCCAGCTGCGGAGGAGAATCTGTTTCCCTCCTGGACTGCGCTCGCCACACAAGGAAGGGAAAGAGAAGGAAACAGCGACTGGCTGGGGATTACCCTGATTTACTGATTAGTTTTTTTTTAATGTCTATTTTTTTTTTAAGTTGACCTGTATTCTCAAAATAATCAAACGTATGGTGTTACAAAGCCATCAGCTAAAAGTTTGGGTATCAAAATAATTGGAGGACTATCAAACCAAACTTTCGATTCTTCTGGTAGACACCTAACTTTCGCCATTGTGTGGGCACTCTCATTTCCCTGCCTCCCCCAAAATCGCCATTGGACATTTCCTTCCGCCATAGCTAGCTCTCGGATTTCCTCACAAATGCCTTCAATCTCCCAAATCGTCGCTTCCTTTCAATCAAGTTTTTGAATCACTGACTTACAGTCCGATTCCATTATCAGCGGTAGAAAATTGTGAGTTTTGGCGAGTCTCAATCCCCACAGGAGAGCAAGTGCTTCCGCCATCTCAACTGGCCACTGCGTTCTTGTACGATGAACCGCCGCCATTCGAAACTTCCCCTCCTCATCCCAGATCACCAGCCCATATCCCGTTCCATCCGCACCCAGCGTCGCCGCGTCCGTGTTCAATTTGAACAAACCCTGTGGAGGGGTTCCCAGCCAACCCGGGTTCGCACAGACGAAGCCCTACTGTCATGGATCTGCAATTGCTGGTATTCCTCCAGGTAATGCTGCGCTCTGGTCACTATCTCCCATTCTTCCACCTTCGAATTGTTGAACAATTGATTATTTCGCTCCTTCCATAGGAACCATAGAGTGACCAGTAGTGTAGTGAGTTCTTCTTTGCTTGTCCCTTCAATGAGGTTGCAGAGCCATTCTTCACAATTTTTCCCTTCCCCTAATAAGAAGAACTTCGCCAACGGACTAGGCCTCCAAACTCTTCTCGCCCAATCGCAATCCCTGGTGATGTGCTCTTGTGTCTCCATTAACCCACAAAACGGGCATTCATCGTGGGCATCTGGGATTCTTCTGCTAAGATTAGCTCCTGTAGGTAGAATGTTGCAACCCCATCTCCATACGAAGATGCAAACCTTAGGAGGTAGTTCGAGTAGCCATAGTTGCTTCCAGTCAATTGGGACATAGGGCTCCACTTGATCCGCTATCTTTTTCTTCCTCCACTCTTTATACCCTGATCGAACTGAGTACTTTCCTGTTCTGTCCTTGCCCCAGACTCGCATATCTGGCCTTGGTTGAAAAGGAATTGGGATTTGGTTGATCCGGTCCCGATCTTCAGATAGGAAATTTTCTTGCAGAATACTGCTTTTCCAAGACCTGGTTTCCTGATCAATTAATCTTGAATCTTGAGGCCTTCTCTGTGATTCATAAGCATGTTATTGGTATTTGTACCCGATAATCCGACGCTGTTGGGATCCAGCGATCCCAACAAATTCTTTCACTCTCCCCATCTCCAATTCTCCATCCCGTGCCTTTCTTGAGGAGTGTTTGTGCTTGCATTAAGCTTCTCCAAATATAGTTGGGGTTTGTCCCCATTTCAGCTTCCAAAATATCACAGTGCGGGTAATGCTTGGCTTTAAGAACATGTGCTGTCATAGAGTTAGGGGCTTGCATTAGGTTCCAGAATTGTCGATCCAGTAAGGCTATATTAAAGCCATGTAAGTCTCGAAACCCCATCCCTCCCTCGTATTTAGGTCGACATAACTTATCCTAGCTCATCCAATGGATCTGCTTCTCTTCCCTTTTCTGTCCCCACCAGAAGCTGCCAATCATGCTCTCTATCTCGTGAATTACTCCTAGTGATATTAGGAATACAGACATTGCATAGAGTGTCTGTGCTTGTGCCACAACCTTTATTAGGACTTCTTTTGCAGCGTTGGATAGAAGCTTCCCCTTCCACATTTTAATCTTCTGTCTGACTCTGTCGATTAGCTGTGAAAACACAGCCTTCTTAGCTCTCCCTATAACTGTGGGGAGTCCCAAATACTTGTCATGATGCATGACAGTCCTCATTCCCATTGTCTCTACCATTTCCTTCCGACTTTCATCACTCACATTCGTGCTAAAGGACAACTCAGATTTAGCAAGACTAACCTGTTGTCCTGAAGCATGCTCATAGGTTTGTAGTATATTCCTTAACACCTCTCTCTATTCTTTCTTGTTTTCGAAGAAAAAGATGCTATCATCTGCGAAGAACATGTGTGTTATCATAGGGCCATTGCTACTAACCTTGATTCCTTTTAGTTTCCCTTCCCCCCCCCCCCCCCACAACTTTTTTGGTTAGGGCTGATCGTCCCTCTGCACATAGAAGGAATAGATAGGGGGAGATAGGGTCTCCCTATCGTAATCCCCGCGAAGGTGTAATAATTTCAGTCTGATGGCCATTTACTAACGTTGAGTAAGTCACAGTAGTGACACATTGCATGATCAAATAAACCCAATCTTCATGGAATCCCATTTTTAGCATGATGCTCTCTAGGAAACTCCACTCCACGCTGTCATATGCTTTAGCTATATCCAGTTTTGCAGCCACATAACTCTTCTTTCCTTGCTTTCTGTTTTTCATAGCATAAAATACTCAAAGCCAACCATTATGTTATTTGTAATGTTCCTCCCAGGGACAAAAGCGCTTTGATTTTCTGTGATTACCAAGTCCAGGATCTTCTTCAGTCTGTTAGCCAATACTTTTGCTAGTATTTTATAAAGTACCTTGCAAAGTGCAATTGGCCTGAATTCCTTTGGAGACTTTGGTTCCTTCGTCTTTGGTATAAGGGCTAATAATGTATGGTTGAGGGTGGGGGGAATTTTTCCTGTCAACAGGATTCTTTGCAATTCCAAACATACAGTATCCCCAACCACTGCCCAGTTCTTTTGAAAAAATAGAGTCGGCATCCCATCTGCCCCAGGAGCTTTAGTGGGTGCCATCATCTTAAGAGCTTCCCAGATTTCCTCTCTAGAAAAAGGGGCTATGAGTTGTTGATTCATCTGAGGAGTAACCCTGGGCTCAACAGCCTCAAGAACTTCCTCCAGGTTCAGTAATTGTCCAGCTTGGTATAGTCCCTTTAAATACTGTGACATACATCCCATAACCTCCTCCTATCCTTTGAATTCCTGGCCATCCTCATCAGTCAGTACCTTTATCGTGTTCCTCCTTTGTCTATTCGATGCCTTTCGATGAAAGAAGCCAGAGTTCTTATCACCCTCTTTAAGCCATTCGTTCCTAGATCGTTGCTTCCACTTAATCTCTTCCTGGACTAGGACTTCATGCAGTTCCTTCTCCAGTGCTCGTCGTTGGAGCAGAACTACCTTGTTTTTTCTCTGTTTGACTATTTTTGCCAAAGCTTTCTCAATTCTCTTCCTCCTGGCTTTTAAGCTTCCAAAAGTTTTTTTTACTCCAAGCCAACAGTGCTGTTTCACAATCTTTTACCCGGTCTACTAGAGGTTTGTCTGGGTCTTTGCACCATTATGTTTTGATAACCTCAGGACATTCTTCATGGTTTTGCCAATATGTTTCAAATTTGAAATGCCATCCCCATCTTACTTTCTCCTCTTGTAAATTCAACTCCACTCTTATAGGCAGATGATCAGATACCCATCTATTCAAGTGGTAAACCCGATTCTCAGGAAACCATTCTTTCCAGGCAGCATTTTCTACCGCTCTATCAAGCCTCTGTTCCAAGAAAGTTTCATCTATTCTCCCATTGTCCCATGTGAACATGTTACCATAGTAGCCCAGATCCTCCAAATGGCATTTATCAAGAGTAGCTTGAAATTCTTCCATGTTGTGAATATCAGGTGGATTAACACCATTCTTTTCTTCGTAGCTTAGGACTTGGTTAAAGTCTCCACGGAGAATCCATGGCATGTTATACTTGTCACTCAATCGTATGATTAGATCCCGTGTTTGGGGTTTATTTTCCTGTTCAGGCCAGCCATAAATACCAGTTAGTCGCCACTTATCCTCCTCTGGACCCTCAGTGATCCAGGCATCAATGTAATTACGCGTCAAAGCTTTGATGGTGACATTAATCTACTCCTTCCATAGTAGTAGCAAACCTCCTGCACGATCTCTAGATCGCACACCCTTTCCTTTTGACCATGCCAGTTGTTTGATGGTATCCTCCCACTCGTGTTCCTGTTTTTTAGTCTCCATTAGGAAAACTATGTTGGGGTCTTGCTCTCGAAGTAGCTCAGCTACTCATGCAATTGTCGTGGGATTCCCCAGACCACGACAGTTGTAACTAATGATGCTCATTGGGCTGGGCGGCCCTGACTCTGTGCAGGGTCCGCCACTCCGCCAACCATTTGTTCATTTGTGATTGCTTCATTTGTCTTCTTTACCACCTGTCCCCCTTTCGGGTTTCATTCCTGCAATTAATATATCATGGTCACTACTACCCTTCTGCTGCTCGTGCCCGTGTTTCCTTTCTTCCATTTGTTTATCTAGCGTCTGTCTTGTCATGTGTGTGAACACAAGAGTTTTCGCTTTCTTCTGATGTGTGTTAATATTCTCCATTTGTTCTCCTGTCTCTTCTTGTTGCTCCATTGTGCACTTCTGTGGAGTGATCTAGGTTGGATTAACCTCTCGAGTGGGCACCTGATCTTGTCGCCTCCACACTTTTCCAATGGGTCTACGTTGATCCTTTTCGTGTCTCTCTTTTTCAGAGAATTTCTTTACCGCCCCTACTAACATCGAAGCACTAGTTGGCTTCTTCCCAGTTTCAAAGGTACCCTTTTCAGCAGTATCGACTTGTACCCCACTTTTTAACTTCTTCCCCACCATATCTGACTGCAGTCTCTCTGAGTCCATCCCAATATCTATGGGGACAGGGTCCATACGTTTGTTATTCATATTGGATTCATTTTCAGCCTACCTGTCCTCTTGCCGAGGTGGTGTGTCTTTTCCAGAGTTTGAGCCGGAACTTTCCAGGTCGAATTTTCTTCTGAGCTGGCTCCAGATATTTGCTTCTTCTTTCTTTGCTCTACGCGAAAGCTAGTTTCTTGGAGCAGGAGGGGCTGTTCGCAGATCAAAACCAAACGGATCAACCTTCAGTTGTGATGGTTGAGGGCATCGGGTTTTAATGGGTCCTATTCTACCACAGGAGTGGCAGAAAAGGGGTAACT